CAGATCTTGGCAAATTCCTGGCGACCCCCCAGTGCGTTCACTATTAAGGCGTTTTTGCTATGCTGGATTATGATGAAAGCCCTGAGGCCTTTCAAGCACTCCAGTTGATGTCAGTTTTCCTCCAAATTTCCTCCACTTTTCTGCTAAGAGGGAATTTACGTCAGATGACGTTTATCATTTGGAAGAAGGAGGTTTCGTAGCTGAGCAAATGGCCAAATGGGTAGCTGAGGAAACTGAGATAAGGAAGGTCAACAGAATCGGACAGCCTACAGATTATCATGGGCCCTTCAAATTGGGGATATTTTTGGCTTTCCTTGGTAAAGTTGTGTATTTACTGAAATAGAATAGGAAATTTATTTTTAACATAAATTTGTGGGCAGTTTTAGCTCTGTGTTTTGTGATCATGATGACATCTGCTCAAATGTGGACTTGTAAAAACAGAGCCCCATATGCTCAAAGGAATCCTCACACAGGATGCATACGTTATATCCATGGAGTGAGTTACTCTTGGTTTGTAGCAGAAATGTCCATCATTTCTGTTTAATACACACATTCTCCTGGGAATCGTGCTCTTAGATAAAGCTGCCATATCTTGTGTGAACATTATAGAGAGGAAGATAATGGGCATGACTGGCATGTGTCTAGTTATAGTATTCTTTAGTTGGCTGAGTTCTTTCTTCAGAGTTAAAGAACATGAGGATCCATTCGGCATTCTCATGGATTCAAAAGAATCCTAGAGATACAGACAATGAAGCAAGAAATTGTTAAAAATGTGAAACAGAAGAATGTGAACTCATTTTTTTTTTTTTTTGAAGATTAGCCCTGAGCCAACTACCGCCAATCCTCCTCTTTTTGCTGAGGAAGACTGGCCCTGAGCTAATATCCATGCCCATCTTCCTCTACTTTATACGTGGGACGCCTACCACAGCATGGTGTGCCAAGCAGTGCCATGTCCGCAGCCGGGATCCGAACCAGCGAACCCTGGGTCGCTGAAGCGGAACGTGCAAACTTAATGCTGTGCCACCGGGCCGGCCCTCTGAACTCAACTTTTTTAAGTGACTGAGACTTAGCCAAAGGAGACATGAGGTGCCTCGGCAGTAACAAGCCATTTTCTCTCAGAATCTGTGAAGTCTTATGGTGTGTATCTTCCCTGTTCGTCTCATTTTTTCCCTTCCCGTAAATGTCACAAACTACCTAACTTAGTGAACCCCAATGATTAAAATCCTCAGAGAGTAGAAGTTTTCTCGAATTAGAACAATGTTTAAAAGTACTTTAGTTAATCCTTGGTCAGCTGATCTTATTCTCCTATGGAAAATAGCGTCTTAGTAAGGTAACCCTGCATCTAGCTACTGAAACTAAGTGTCTTGCCTTTCCTGGAGGTGTATATTTGTTCAGCCTGCTTTGTGTGTTGTCCTCTGAAGCCTAAGTGTCTTTCTCTAGAGCGTACTTCCAATGTCTAGAGGCAAATGTAGTCCTACTTGGCACTCCATCTCCCATGTCTTTCCTACTGCAATATGCTACCATGCTTCTTGACTGTTGGGCATACTACAAACTCCCTGAATACTGGATTATAATTTCTCCATGACTGGTAACCACTTTTTATCTGGAAAGATTTCAGATAAATTATCTTATTTTTCTTTCAAGCGGCCAATCTCTAACAAAATAGTAGTTCCTACTTTGGTGTTGACTTGAGGTCATTTCCTATTTAAATCTAAGAGAACAATAGATATAAAGACAACTCAGAAGATGAATAATTTCATTCACTCTTTTCTGTTTAGGAGCAGGCCAAAATATCAAGTTATTTCCAATATGCAGAAATGTGAAACTGAACATCTTAAAAGTTATTCAATTTCAGCCTTTCTTCCCTCTTAAGTGGAAAAACAAGACACAGATTGGAAGACTTTTTTCCCTCTTTATCTTCTTTCTGTCCTACGTAGATAGTGACAGTTAAGTCCTAAACAGTTTATTACCGTGCTTGGCAAAGGTTGAAATTGCGGTTTACTATTAAATCAAACCCTGGCCTTCCCTCTGGAAGTTGCTATTTACAAATGTGAGAACTGTGATTGTGAAAATGTTTTTTGAGCAACAACAATTTAGTGTGACATCAGAAGATTTCTGCTCTCAATTGGGACTGGGTTGGCTATTTACAGCCACCTGACCCTCCCCAAAGCTACAGTGGGAGACTTTGAGGTTTCATATGAGTTGTTTGCCACGGGAGTTGGGTATAACTGCCCCAGAGTAAATTACAATTTTTTTTTTAAACACAGAGTGGGTGGGATAGTTGACCTCCCTCACTTTAGACACTTTTTGTTTGTATGTTACTCGAGAGGAAACTGCTAGACTCTGGCCTTTGATCCAGCTTACTTTTCTGGTGGTCTTGCACTTGTCTCAGGCCAAATAACTTCAGGTGGAGATGCTCGGGGTCGAGCCTCAGGCGAGGCTGAGTCGTTCGCACAGCACATGACTCAGGGAGAAGTAACGGCTGCTTTAAGTGCACAGTGGCAGATGATGTGTCCTGGAGGCTGAAAGAAATTTTTTCCCCACTTGATTTGCCCTTCTTATCTTCAAAGCCCACTCATCTTGTGTAAGGAAGAAAAGTTTCTCAGCTAAAATGAATGGAAAATAGCTTTGCTGCATTCAAAGCAAAGTGTTATACTTTTGGGCAGATTGTCAAATTAATATCTAAAGGGCCTTAACGTAGACAATAGTAATACTTTTTAATTAAAGGTTTAGATGGCACCTCAATTAAAAAAACCCTTCTATTCAAAGGGATTCCACAGATGGCAAACTTTCATAATGGAAAATCTGTATAGAAGTACAAAAATAAGTTATAAAAATTAAACCCACAAAGCAAAATATATAGGTGGTTAAACAACCTTAATTTTACATTTGTATAAAATACAAGTGAAAACCATCTGAATGATAGTAGTGACTGAAATCCTGTCTGGTGCAGCGTCAAATCTATTTCTATGTTCTGGTTTTGGTTTTTGCAACAGAATGTGTAAATTCTATTTAGCAAGAATGTTATAGTAAAGAAAGACTAATATTGTACAGTTAGCAGTGTCAAGTATTTTTGAATTGGGCTATTTCTAAAATCACTTAGCACAAAAGTCTGTTAATGTCTTGTTTCAGCTGAGAATCAGACATCATATTAGGCTTTGTAATCTTAAGCCACTAATGTGTCTGTCTTGTTTATAATTATAAATAAGTTTTGAACCCAAGTATTATTCATAAAGGAAAATATTTTAATAGAGAAAAATGCTGCTTTATAAAGGCATTGCAAAGGTCTTTATAGACTGTGGAAATGGCAGAGGTAACGAAAATGACAGGAGACAGAAAAAGGATCATCTTCTTTCTACAGACACAAAGATTTCAGTCTCCTTTATGGTGAAAACATCAAATATTGTAAAAATGATCACACCCTTTCCTGGCATTGACAGATTAACCTAATTAATTTCCTAAAAGCATCTGCAAAGGATGCAGGTCTCCAGGCAACTGAACATGGAGACCATGAAAACTTAGACTTCAAGATGTATGGCCCTCCTCCAAAAAAATACAAAGCACAACACCTACGAGTTTCTTAGACTGCCACATTTCTGTATGCTTAAGTGTAGTGTTGTGAGCACTCTTTTCTCTGAAGGCAGTTTCAAGCAGTTGAGCTCTAATGTAACCGGTGATTTGTTCTGTCCAGTCTAACGCGTCTTATTAATCAGAGCGATAGGCTGACGACGGTCTGCTTAGATGACACGGTGCTTTTCTGGTACTACAATTATCTGCCCTACAGCCTCTGTGATTTTTCAGGGCATGGCCTTAGTGTCACTGTTACACATATTTCCCCCATTTAACTGTATGAATTTGGGTATAATTATTGATGTTTTTTGAATTTTTCTGTTTGTGTAGTTACTAGGCAAAGACTGACATTAGAGTCAATTTGTCAAACTTATCAATTGACACATACTGTATAGTTTTTTAAAAACCAACCAACCCTAATAGGCTAACTAGTGCTTCTTTAGTGTAACAAGAACTTTCAAGAATACAAATTATACTGTTACGGGTTGTACAGCGTCTGGGGACAAGTGGCTGGAAGACTGGGGCGGGGGTATAGATAATAGCAAGAAGGGATTGGACTTCATTCTATGATGTTTTGGAGAACATAAATAGGGTGGATGGGAATTATGAAGGGACTTTTCTTTAATATCTAGGCTGGACTGCTTCAAAGTAGTGAGCTAGCCCCAGGTAAGGAGCATGTCCTCTGAGGGATTCCTGTATTGGTCAGAGGCCTCACCTCACACTAGGGTTCAAGTCCAGCGACGGCAAAGAAAAAATGCTTGTGCAGGCTGGGCAAAGAGTGCTACGGGCTGTGGAGAGGCTGCCCCCTTCAAAGGGGGCGACCACTATGGAGTTTCCTCTGATGGCACCCGGGAAGGAATGCAAGACGGGATACCATGAAGTTGCCGAATCTCCTCACTTTTCAAGAGAAGACAAAATCTGGATTTTTATGTGAGATCTTCTGATTTCTTAAATGTTAGTCACTTAAACACCAAACAAAAATTATTTGCAGGCCAAAATTGGCTTGCCAACTTGAGACCTCTGATTTTAGTCCAAAAAATTCAATTATAAAAAATGAAGAGAAGTGACATACCGGAAATTATACAGTTGTGACAGTTGAGAGCTGGCTTCCAAAATTTTAGTCCAGTGTTTTCTTGCATATCATACCTGGGCTGCGTATCCACTTCTGGGCCTGTGAAGATTCCCCCAGTTCATTTTGGTTTCTTTTTTTCCTACATGTTCTAAAATTCTTTCACCACCTGGCAGAGTTTGTAAGCTTGGCTTCTTGCCTCCTCCTCCTCTTTCCACTCCACCCAATGTCTTTTATTTAAGGGAAAATGGATGTGGGTGGTGGGGGGGAGAACCTATTTTTCTTTTCTTCTCCCCAAAGCCCTGCAGTACATAGTTGTATATTCTAATTGTAGGTCCTTCTGGTTGTGCTATGTGGGACACAGCTTCAGCACGGCTTGACGAGCGATGATAGGTCCACGCCCAGGATCCGAACCAGTGAAACCCTGGGCCACTGAAGCAGAACGCATAAACTTAACCATTCAGCCATGGGGCCGGCCCCGGGAAGAACCTCTTTAAAACCTGAGCTCCATCCACATGCCCAGCATTATTAGGTACCTTCCATATATTATCTCATTATTTCCCAACAGCCCTATTATCATCTTTTCACAGTGGAGGAACCTGAGATTTACAAGCATCAAGGAACTTGTCCAGAGTGTTATGCAATCCAGATTTTAACCCAGGGCTTCATAACTCTTAAAGCCTAAATTATTTCCAGTGCATCACACTGGCTCCCTTTACCTAAGCCTGAAGAGCTGTAATGATGAGCACAAAATAGAAAGTTTGGAGCAAAGCTTTCCTTTTTATTGCAGTTATTAGTGAAAGTTACACTTCAAACTGAAGCTAAGCAACGCTAAAACCATTAATTATTTTTTTAAATCAAGGATTGAAAACAAATACAACATAGAACGCTTCCAATATGCAGAATGGCAGAAAAAAGAAGAGTGGTTCTGTCACAGGACATTCTAGTGACAGTTTGGCTCAGAAAGAATTATGACAACTTCTTTAACATAAAACATTGTAAGTGATTGAACTGCTTAAAAAGCGGCTTCTTCAAGCTTCTTGATCTCAACCCTAAGTTTTTTGTAGTAATTTTTTTGAAGATAATTTAACTGAAAGTAGAAAATTTACTACTAAACTTTAAATACCGAAAAAAAGCACTTTTGTTTAAAAACTTTATTTGCCTCTGCTCATCATAATTACATAGTCTTCAAGGAATTAAAATGACAATCAAATCCAAAGCCTGGCCCCTAAGTACACAGTGATAGGATTCAGCATTTGGTGTTTCGAATTATACAGTGATTACATATATATCATCACAGACTTGCTCCCACCCCCACCACGTAAAGTTCCAATTTCCTCTTAACAAAATGTGGCAGTCAAGTTTAGTATCCTTCAAGATCTTATCTGGTCCTATAGCATATTACAAACTCAGACTCATTCCACTGTTTTAACTGATGTTACTGTGTAACCAAATATTAACAAAGGAAGGCTTATAGATACACATTTTGAAATTCTGCAGTCCTTAAATTACTACAGTAAATTGTTCTTACTTATGAAAAGCCAACAAAAAATATAAGGCCAGGCCAGGTTTAAGACAGGGTAGGGAAGATGAGGAAGGAGGTCTGAGTCCAGCACTTTACCATGCTCAAACTTGGTGTCAGTAGAAATATTTGGCAAGAATAGTTGGTGTGGAAAGGGAGGATGGAGAAAGAGGTTACTCTGATTTTATTTGTAACAATTCAGTTTCAAAACATACTGATATCAAGCCCCAAAAATAGTTCACATCTGCAATACAAATAGGCACACACGGTCAAGATGGTTGAAAAGGAAAATTGAAAAGGCTATTTGTCCATCTGCAAGACATGTGCAGGTGGCCCCACCCTTCCCACATGTCCTGTATTTACATTTTACTGTTCAGAAAAGCCCCTTTAAAGAGTGCTGTTTCCTCCTCCATTACTTAGGGTTAAAAAGAAAGCAGCAATTATCTAAAGTGGGAGCAGTTAGCAACGCTTCAAGGGTGTGCATTGGTGTGTAATATAAATGTTCTCTAGAGTGAGTGGTCAGATTACGCTGGAATGGTTATATTACAATTTTAGTCCCTAAAACACTAAAGAAACATTTTTTCTGTATAAACTTATGTAATACACACAGTGTTATAAACATAGAATCTTTATACACACAACCCCCACACACACCACTGCTTCCCACAGCCTATGAATGCATCCATATACTAGTCCACAAGAATGATCTTTATTCACAAGATACAGTAATACTTTTATGGGTCCATAACTCAAAAGAGACATTAAAGCTACACATTACAGCAAAAATTGTTTAAAAGAATTCCTGATATATCAATGTTCTTAGTTATCTCACTCAGCAAGGTGGATTTTTTGTTCATTTTTCCAAGCATGAATCTCTCCAACTTTTCACTTTCAGTACTTGCAATTCTCATTAGCCTATAAAACTAAGACAGATACCACTATGTTAGTGATGAGTTGGAAGAGCCCAACTGCCTGCAAAAAAGGGAGGTCAGCATCTACAGAGAGAAAAAATAAACACTGAATGCATCCATACCCTGTATACCTAAAATGCATCCTTTTTTCTTAAAACAAAAACAAAAAAACAAACTTGTCTGTTGTGACAAGGCATTGCCTACACAACCTGTGGCGATGTGCCCTTTGTTATTTCCTAGAAAGAAGAGCCCCTTCCCCCCATGGAAATGGGTAAGCCTGTCGAAATGTCAGGTTCTGCCCACCAACCATGAAGGAAACTGGGTCAGACACCACGAGGCTTCCTGATATCACCTGCAGATGCTCAGAATTGAATTAAAATGAAAAACTTTTACCATATTTTAACGTTTACAGGTACGTGGTGATTGGAAAGCAAGGTTCAACTCTGCAAAGTGATGAGTGAAATAAGCACACTTTCCTTCTTAAAAACCTAACCCCCTAACCTAACTCCAAAAAAAGGTAACAAAAATATGCCAAGAAACAAAGGGCTTAACTATCTGGTTGTACAACAGCTTCTGATGCCACATGTAGCAAAAACACCTGAAGGCGAAAGGCAAGTTAATGTCTGATTATCTGATGGTTTCACATTAATCTAACTCAAAATACAATCGCAGCTGCCATAGCACCGCTAAAAGGAGTTTGGTTTTTGAAGTTACAGTTTTGCCAAGGATTATTATAAAGAAAAATTCAGCCTGTGTGCTGGCTATCTGACAGGGGAGAAACAGAACAGGATCCATTTGTAAGTGAACACCATACCGTGAAAAGGCCTGAGTTTCTCTTATACCTGTTTGATAAAATGCTCTTCGAGAATTAAAGATATTTTCATAGAGGCAAACTGGAACTGAACCCTTCATACAACAAGACTCCATTATCTTGAACTTCTGAATAGCTTTTCTTGTGGAGAACTCAAGCACTGTCACAAACATTATCCTATTCTTACAACAATTGTGTGAGGTAGGTGAGGGCAGGTATTATCACTACCATTTGACAAGGTAGGCACAGAGAGATTAAGGAAATTGCCTAAGGACGCAGAGCAAATTAGTGGTAGAGCTCTGATTGAATTCCAAGGTTCTGGCTCCTGGTTAGAGCTCTTTCTACTCCCAAAGGCAACAGTTCTCAGCGGCTGTTTTCCAGTTGTGATCCTCTAAAAGTTCCTGCACTTGAAAACACCCATGCCTTCTCCTCTACAGCTCAAGTTTGACTAGGAAATGGGTTAAAAAAAATTTTATATAGAATTTTGCATATATCGAGACATATGTGAGAGAGAGATCTACATAACTGAAGTCGGAGAAAATCAATGTGTAAATTAAGAGGAAAGAATAGTCTATGTGTTCATTCAATACAACTTTTATACTTAAGAAGACATGTCAGAATAAAAGTCACAAACCTTTTAAAGTTTAAATCAGAGTCTGATTCATTAAAACCAGAAGCTATATTAATTTTAAGAAGATAGGGGTCTCTCTTGCAGAGGTTGGAATATTACTTTCAAGAGTAATTTTCTCATCACTTTGCTATAACATCGTATTTCAGATATTCAGTCTGTTCACATTATCACTCTATAGCTAGAGATAATACCTGCAGCATTAACATGTTCAATCTCAATTCTCATTTAATCGGGTTAGGATTTCTTTCCATCTGTATTAACTAAAGTTGCATTCTAATGATTCTCATTCTATTTTTCTTGTTTTATCCCTCCCCCTTAACAGTGTGTGTGTGTGTGTATGGGGGTGGGGAGAGAACTGCATGATTCATAAATGCATGAGACACTGATTATATCACAAAACAGAGTGACAGCCCTCAAGTAAATCAAAGCATGGTATGTCAAAGGAAAAACTTTAGAATCTAAACATGAAAAAAGGGCTCAAATAGTCTCTCAATCAAGATATAACTTGTGGCATGTGATCTTCCTTCCCCAACTATTTTAAAGACTATTATTTACTGATAGTAGAAGTCTATGTAAACTGCCTCTAAATCCTTCCTCTTTTCTTCCTTTTCTTTTTTAAAGAGGAGAAAGGGGTTGTACCCTGGGCTAAGAGATGAGAAAGCTCCTAGAAAACTTTTTAAGAATCTTGTAGGGTCAAACTATTAGCAGATTTCGGTCAGTGCTTGCTGTTTCTGGTTTTGTGCACATGTGCAGGGTCATCATCAATACTATGAGATCCTTCTCTTTCTGTGAAACAGGGAGATCTTCACAGTTAATTACCATTGGAGATCCAAGTCTGTTGCTACCAGAACAAAAGCTTCCTCTTGTTAAACTCCCTGGGACCAAACTGTATCCATTAACCTGGTTGGACTGTCTATGTTAGGCAAAATTCCTCCTTCATTACAACCTACCAGTGTTTTTTCCAAATCTTTCACCAAAAACATTTTCTTTTTACAGGAAAGACTACCTTGTCTGCAAAGGCTCTGGTTGGTGTTTTCTATGTAAAGGGAAAAGTTGGAGAAGCCATGTTGATGGCAATGCCATGGCTCTATTTAAGGATACATACTTCATTTAATCTCTTTATTGTCATTCAGAAGCAATTTCCAAGACTTCTCCAATTTACCAGGAACAGATCGAGCTCTAGGTCTGCACAACCAACATAAAGTAAGCTTAGTTCACGGAGGCGCTCTTCTGAGGCCTCTTCTGTAGGTTCAAACAGCGACAGTCCCGCTTTTACCACGGGGTTGTGAGAACCAGATAAACAGTAAACAATTGTTAAGGTTTCTGTCCAAGGATCCAGCAAAGAAATCTTTTCCTCATTTCCCCCCTCACTACATACCCTTATTGCAATCCCACTGATCTGTTTCTTTACAAAGACCTCCTGTTTCTATAGGTTCTTATAATAAAGATAGAGTCACATCTGCAACATTTTTTGTAGAGAGTCTTTCCTTCTTTGGTTCTAAAAATATTATTAAAGGGCCAAATGAAGGATTTTTGTTTGTCCTTCCAACTAAAGCCATGAGGTAAATAAAGATGGAAAGTTTTAGGCATTAAATACCAGAGTGTAATCTCCTTCTCTAGTCTCTGGCACAGCCTCTTAAACTCCAAATATAAAATGACAGATGTGCATAGTTAATTTTTGGAAATAATAAAACCAAAATAAAGCAAAGTTCTAATGACCAACACTCCCATCTGTTTTCTATTCAGGTAAGACTGTTCATGACAGTTCTTTTTTGGGATGAACTATTACTTACTGTAGAAACATTTCTTTCTTAGGAGGTGGACTATAAACATGAACAAGTCACCAAGTACTTCACTGTGGTAATTCAGTACTGATGCTAGGTACCTTGATTTATGGGGCCAACCGGTTAAAAAAGCAAAAGAAGCTCTATGTGTCAGGTTCCTATAAGCTTTCAGGAGGAAAAAAAGAAAATAAAGGACTATTTCTACTTGAGGCTGCCTTAAAAATGTTTGTCTACAAGGATTATATGCCTCTCAATCTAGGATAGTGTTGAAACATAATGAATAAAACTAATAAAGATATAAGCACGATAAATATCCTTGAGGAGGGCATATGCTTGCAACAAAAATATATCTGACTGCTTGAAACATATTTGGCAGCAACAAATTCCTATAATCATAGTACCAATCTTCAATTAATACTTCATGTGAGGGTGAAGGAAGTAGCTCAGAATAGTATATTAAAAAAAAATTACTGTATCTGGCAAAAATGCAGAAAGAAATGATATGGCCAATGTCTATATGAAATCACATGCTGATTCACTGTAAGTTGTAAAATTTTACATGATATAAAAATAACTTTTTCCCAATGATAATTACTTGAAGCTTTTTCATTTAGCCCTCTTAGTGGAAGAATAGATCACAGTACAGCAAAATGTCATACACTGAGCCTTGATAACTTAGAATTTAAAACTCAGAGAACGAGATAAAGTTTATCTTTTAATCTCTAACAGAAAAATGGCCTACCAAGCAAATTCAGTGTAAAAATAAAATGGAAATATTTTATCTGCTTAAGAGAATTCACTTTTTCCACATACCTTTATAAAAAGTGTGCCAATATAAGCAATCTTGATCTATTCACTAGGAAACTGGAGTGACCATATATGTTTGAAATGAATATTCTGCAATCATACTTTTCATTGCCTTTCAATTAATTTACATTCATCAATTATTATTTAAATTTTTAATTAACTTAAATATTATTTTAATCATTCTTTATCCCTGGCTCTACCTAGCCACTTAAACTCTGTTTCGTTACTGATACTCAGGGTTGAATCAACTTTAAAAGTATGCTGGAGAAAAGATGAGGGTAGCTAATTTTCCACATAATATAATTACGGGGGAAAAATCCCATTTCAAAGTCAATTATCAGTGACTTCTGGATCATTTGCTATTTGTTTTCCAGGTCTATAAAAATGGTATCAGAATCCTAATGCTGGATGATGTGACCATTTCAGCAGTTTCGAATGTAGCTGAAGTTAAAAAAAGAAATGTACCACTCATTTATTTGGTAAGTTGTCCCAGAACTGCAGATCAGGTAAAATAAATCCAATTTGTTAGTGTTAGTTTGCTACTTAAGGGAAAGAAATCTAACTTACAGAAAAGCCCCACCTCCCCTCCACATTTAGAAATCTATCTAAAGACTGTCTTTAATGCCCACTATATAAACAACATTAAATATTCTAAGTTAGAAAATAGTGTTAATGGTTTATTGGTAAAAATCCAAACTCTAGACTTTATGGAACTAGTAGTTTGGTGGGTATATTAACATTCCATCTTAATCTTTGCTAATATTACAAAGAAAGAGGAAACACTAGAAATATCTATAAAAATAAAATACCTTAAAACCAACATCTAAGCAAAATATAAAAGTTGCACACAAATTGCCAATAAATATAAACATCACAATAGAAAAATTAATATAAAAAATAAACTCATAATTGCTATTAAGACATTATAAAAAATGAAAAAGTTTAATGTGCATGTATATTTGCAAACAGACACAGTACACTCCAAACAATATAAATTTACTATCATTATTACATAATGCAGCATACAAGGTTACTGAGGTGTGGTGTTTTTTGTTTGTTTTTAGTCTATTTTTTTCTGGAGGAATGCTCACCAAATTCATAAGCAAGAACTGGTTAGGTGATCATTTACAGCTGTTCACTGCTTCCGAGTCCAGGGGAAAACTGCTTTCTGGTAGATTACTAAATTTCTAAGAAGTACGAATGGTCCTGCTATTATCCTTCCTTTTGCTTATTTCCTCCACAGCCCAATTTCGCATGTTCTATTTCTAATTAACTGATCATACCCTTTTAGATACACTGTCATCATTTTTCATAGTTCCCCCATGCTAGAACACAGTGGGAATCATTTAAAATATTTTTTGGTGCCTAAAAAAGAAAATTTCCCCATAGGTAGAGACATAATCAGTTTACTTTTTCTCTTAAACCAATTTCCATGATGACTTGGCTCTCCCTTTATAAGCAGTTTTCTTTAATAAAGATTAATTAGAAAATGTTACCAACAGATATTTAAATACTTACAAAAGGGTCAATCTATATTAAAAAAAAAAAAAAAGGAAAGGTAGCCTATGACTTATCATTCCTGGCAAGTTACCTTTCCCTTTGGGCACTCACTTGCTACTATATCCATACTCTTGTTAAAAAGTTAAGCAGATTTGCTGTTTTTTGTGCCTTATAGATTACAGTCAACATAGCTGAGAACTGAAAGGGTCAATTCTGTTAAAAATTTTGTTTTCAAACTTACAAAATACATTTGGTGAGCATTTACCTAGACACTTTACTGAATAAAAGCTTTACCTGGTTCCCTTGGACTGGATTCAGGACAACGAATAACTATTTATATGAAACTGTCTCACTCTTGGAGTTCTAAAATAATTCATCTTTTAAATTTTTAGTCTCATGCTATTTGAAAAATAAAAATCTACAGCACCATCTTCTGAAAAGGCACTTTCTAAGAACCGCCTTACTTTAAAAAATGATTTAAAAATTTAATTCAGCGCCTACCCTGAAGAACATTTTTGCTTAATACTGAGACCCTAACATCGATACATTAGATTTTGGTTACCTCAGACATTGATATCAAAAAGGAAGGGAGACCAATGGCTGGATAGATGATTTGACAGGATCTTAGTTTTGTCACATTGCTTGTTACTTGATACTTCAACAGGGTTTCTCATTGGTAAATCTCAACGCTCCATATTAAATTTATTATTGTTCTATCTTTAACTAAAATTAGAATCTTTAACTTCTATACTTTAAGAGCAAAAGATTCTTGAGGTTTAATCAACAATGTAAAAATCTAGAGTACTTTGATGGGTAAAGAAAAATAAAATTCAACTAGCAGTAGATAATATTAGCACAAGCCTTGACCATTATCTCTTGGTTAAGAAAAATTATTTTGACCAACACGGAAAATTATAAACTAAAATGTAGTACCGTTTTTAAAAGCAGGAAAAAGTAGTAAGTGTTTTTTCCCTTTGAAATATGCATATATATATATGAGAGAGAGAGACAAAGAGAGGAGAGTGATTTTTTTCCACAGGGGAGTCAGCTTGTTTCACTAATCACAGTATCATTTCTAATACTGCCACTGATAAAGAATGTTCTTAGTACAAGCAGGAATTTTTTTAAAAAACAATTTTTTGGAGAAAATTCTCACTTTCACATTTTTGTACTGATTTTACATGTCTATTCTTGGCTTATTTTTTGATTCCTCTAGGATCACAAAAGTGCTTTACATGATCAAATGGGAGGGAAATAGGAAAATACAACATATATTAGAGTCAGGGTTCTACTGCTACTCAGGAAGGCCTCACTTGAGATAAAAGCCTCCCATTATTATTACTGAAGCTTTAAGACATCCATGAATTCTCAAAAAGAATGAAAAGGATTAACTCCATATGGATAAAAAATGCCAAAATAAAGATGCCAAGCCAATGATGTCTTTTTACAGTTTAAGTGAATAAAGGGTAATTTAAGTAGCAAGTTACTGTTAGGGGCAACTTGTCTTTAAAGGTATTCAATAGGAGAACATCTAAGAGGATGAGTTAAGCAAATATTTAACTCAGGTTTAATGATACTGAATAAAAATTATACAGAGCTGACAGTTAAGCTTCTTGGAAAAACATTACCATCAAGTTTGAAATAGCAAGACTACAAAATATTCTAGCTGAATCCAAGTGGCTAGCTTCATGGATTTCATGAAAATCACTACCCTTGGCAAATTCCTGTTAGCCTCTGAAAAAACTCACCAAATTCCTTGAATAATGGTCTCTAATTCCTGGTTTATAATCCATCTAATTATTTCAGATCTATTACTGGCACTCTGAGTGTTCACTTTTTCTTTAAACACTGAGATCCTCTGCCAGCCGTTTCTATTGAATGGCAACTCAGATTTTATTTCCCTAGACATTCCTTAAGTCTGTCATGACTAAGCCTGTCATACTAAACTCCACTAGAGAATATACAAGTAAACATTAGGCAGTGGTGGGTCATCAGAGAATCTAGTTTGGAATACTAGTACAGGTCTTTAGAAGGCTAGGAGTCCCTATGTCAGAAGGTAGAGATGAATCTTTATCAAGTGCCTTCCGAAATACCCAGTACATTCCTACTAGAATCCCTTCTAGACTCTCTTCTAGGAAGAGAAATAAATTAATGGTTACAAACAGGAAGATTTCCATAGACAATATTTTTTCTGAGAAACTTGTTAAACGGTAAATATTAAGAAAAAATAGAGGGCATCTGTACTTCTGTGAAAATATGCCAAAAACCACTACTGAGGAGGTTGAGGTACCTTTTTTCAAAACTGCTAAAGTCAAAATCCACATTTCTAAAACAAAAGAGTATTCTGATATTAAATTGAAACTAAAATGGCAGCACCCATTGTTACCTTGATATTTCACGTTCTTAATCTTATTTAGGGAAAAAAAGGGGGTCTAACACTAGCCTTGAATCCTGCTCATCTCCTTATTGTTTAGTGCAGTAACTGTCAGAGTCTAGTGAATTAAATAAATATAGCAGCTACAGTATTATAAATGTATGGTCCTCAATGCCAGTAACTTGATACTCTAAGATAATAACATGTATCCGCACTTTACACAGACACATTTGCCATCCAGAATATACATTAAAACTCCCAACTCTTCACAGAAAGGTCACTATTGTGTTTCATGACCATTAAATTCAAAACAACCTTTTTTTAAAAAAAATAAAAAAGATCGGAATTCGACACCAGAAGTATAGTAATAATTAAAACAAATTTCAAAAAGTATTTGCCACTTAGACTTCTATGTTAAAATTCTAAGCACAAGATTTCTTGTAATTAGGTTTGATATACCAATTTATTAGTAAGCAAAACAGAAATACACTATACATACTCTTTCAAGTATGCTGAAACCTCAAACTTAACCTTAAACTAGCACTGTTGAAAGTCTAAGAAAGAAACCCCCCAAAAGAATTCACTTCAAAGGTAAAGCTTTATATTTAAAAAACCCTCTGTATTTCCTTCCAAATTGGCTTCACTATAGCACATGTGAAACTAAGTAACTGAAAATTAGGTAAAACAGTAAATAGGGAAAGGGTATCTACAGTGCTTCCCTGGGCCCTAAAGTTTCCCACATGAAACTGCAACTCTCACCGTTAAAGGAAGATGTTTTGCTCATACTGAGCAAGCACAGAGCAATCAAGTTTCTACCATCTAGGATATACTACTTTCTTCTCTTGCCGTTGTTCCTGACTATATTCAGTGAAATTTCAATGTTAAAAAACAACCAACCAACCAGAACCATGCTTACTAGGAATCTTTTTTAGGGGCAGGGTTGGGAGAAAAAATGTATATACTGTACAAATATTATCTCATGTAAAGAGCTTTGAAACAGTGTTGTAAATTGCATTTCAGACACTTCAATATAATAAACGTACAAAATACAGTACTTTCCTAGTTTTCTGGCAGAGGACAAAAGATTTCATACCTATTGGAGGACATGGGCTCAGATTTTAGGCTCAAAATACAGTAAATTGGCAATAAGAGTGGATTATAGGTAAGAGAGAAACTAAAGAGCTAATCCATTCATTTTCATGTGCAGATGGAATACTGAAAGGTTAAGAACAATGCCCACTGGAAACAATCTTTAACATCTATACTCTGAACCAGTGCAAAAACCAAAAAATTAAAATGCAATTTTCATGAGTTACAAAGTGCAAAGCTCCCCTGAATCCAATGTTACTGATGAACTCGGTCTTGACAGCTTTATAGTACTTTTTAATATCTTAACGTGAAGTCAGTAAAACAAAAGTTTTGCAAAACTTTTTTCCACATTTCAGTGATTTAACTCATTTAAAATTATCAAAGTCCTAACTTCCTTTGTCACCATAACCCTAATTTTAAAAGGAAAGTTACGATGATGATGTTAGCAAAAATGTTTTTAAAATATCATTTTAATTTTCCTGATTCATTTTAGTAAATGAAAATGGGCACCTAACCAGTATGATTCTTCAATAAACATGATCTATTTTCAAAGAATTTAAATATCTTCTAAATCTTAAGCTATTCACTGTCCTGCTTAAATCAAAATTTAACTTTATTTCTAATATTTAAGGTCAGACTCATTTAGGAAATTTAACTTCCTTCATTTTCATTATGATTTTTAAAAGACATGCTTTAAACTTGAAAATTACAAAACTTTCCTTCTGAAATTAAGGCTGTATTACTTTGCCCTTTTAAAATTATGGAGGTGCCTGTTTCTCCCACTTTCTGTGGTAAAGATGTCAGACACAGCTTTCCTTTAAAACTGCTTATTGCACTAAAAGATAGCAAAAAGAAGTTGTCAGTTCTTAAAATAAACATGATTATATTTCTATAAAAGATGTGGCCAATATGGTTCTATAATTATTAAAGCACTATTCTAATAAATATAAAAGAAAAGGAAGCTATACTTTAAAACACATACATATATGTTTATATATACACACACATATATATAAAAATATATATATATGAAAATCACATTAAGGTATGAGAGGCAGCAAGTAAACTAGCAAACAAAAAATTTTAAAAACCTCAACAACCCCCGCCCCTCCATCCAATTTCAGAGGCCACAACCCTACAGACTTCCAATCATTTAAAATATTTACCCTTTATAAAAGCTTTAAGGGATTTCCATGTATAACCCATAGAAACAGAAGGCTTTAGAATACATATCACTTATAGAGAGAAAGAGTTACAACTTCTGACAAGGTTTTATATTTATAGCAGCTTTAACAAACTCACTAAAGAAAAAGAATAGTTTAGGTTGCTACTGCTTATGTACACATTGCACAAATGGCAAATGTAAGTTCAGAGCAGGAGGGGGCAGACACACACTCTCACAAAAACAAATATATATATATAAAATAATTCTGTTTCTTAAGAAAGCACTATCAAGAGTTGAGGATTCAGAATTGTGTATGAGACAAGAGACAGGAGTAGGGTGTGCAAAATAAAAATTAAAATCTAGTTTGCCATGCTTCATATTCAAAGGAACCAGATACAGGAACATCTGAATGTCACTGATAGCATTAGGAAAAAAAATGTAGGTGGTGAAGGCAAGGCAGGTCGAGAAAGAAAGAAAAGTCGTGATGGGGGAATAAGAGGGAAAGAAAGTTCCCCAATGGAATGAACTATAAAATATATACATAGACACATATATATCTATTATCAATGTAGATCCAGATATATATGCATATGAAGTATGCATGTATATATTTAAAATATACATAGATACCTTTTACAAGAATACATGAATGCACGTTATTTTTTTTGCACACATAATTGTGAACAATCACTTTGATTATTCATGTAGGTGTGTGTTTTTTTTTTAAAACCATCATTTTCTTTTTCTTTACTTTTTTGCAAAGATAGTTGTGCTGCCAAGCAACTTGAGGTAAAGGCATTAAAAGGGTTAGACTACAAGAAAGTGAAAACAAAACAACTGCGATACTTCCTACAGGAGACCGCACAAAAAAGCAGTTGGCTGGTTTCATATTGCATAATGGTGCTGTGTTCCTTGATGAAGTAAACAATCTTCCTTGCATCAACATAAAGATCAGACCCTGGCCCCCAAACAGTGTTGGTTTCTGTATGGTTGGAGGCATCACCACTCAACTGACTCCACTGGAAACATACGTTGTATGTCGATTCATCTTTCGGTTCTTCCTCTCAGAGAACATTCTTGGACTTTTTAAGCAAAGTACATTGTGCGTAAGGTATCTTGGTGAATCTGTACAGCCTTGGCAAGAGCTTGTGGATCTCGCCCATTGCTCTGTCCTGAAACGTGGCTTCCTTCAGCACTGTAAGACAAGCGGCAATGAACACAAAAACAAACCCTATGCTGATGTAGTAATTCTGAAAAACATTATTTGTTGTAGAAAATTTCAAAAATATTAAAGAAAACAGAGGCTAGTATAATGAACTTCCACATGACTATCACCTAGCTTCAATAATTATTAACTCAAGGCCAATTTTGTTTTACTTTTCTCACCTCCCCAGGATTATTTAGAAGCAAATTCCAGACATTCTATCATTTTGTCTGTATATGTCACTTTTATTATCAATAATCTCTCCTTTGAATTAATTTTGTAAAGCAACTAAATCACTATATCATTCTATTACTAAGAAGCCTAGCCTGCACATTTTAATGGGAACCCTTATCTGGGGGCAGTCAGTTCTGACTATCATTGTTTTTCATATGGATCACTGACTCCTCTAATAGCTTGTGGAACTTTAATACTAAATGGCTGTGCTTTATGGCAAATAGAGAGGCACATACATGGAAACAAAGAAATTTCCCAAGAAAATTCTAACATGCAGACCATGTTCAGATTTGGGTGAGAATCTGTATCTGTTTAGCTTTTATATTACCTGTCATGTTCTTTGTCCACGAGATGATATCTGGCTCTAAATGCCACCAGGTGAGCGTAATACGCTGGTGCAGGTATAGAAACAGATCGTGTACAGCGCACATAAGTGTGGCAGAGCTGGTAAGTCAGCAGCTGAAGTTCATCTGCAGTAAAGCAGTTATCATCCCATAAAACATGATAGTGTGAAGGACGGCTGGTACCCTACAGAGAAAGCAATGGCATAGTCTATTGATTTCTAAACTTTTAAATAAATATTCAGCACAGACTAAGTTATATTAAAAACCAGCTTTGTACATTAGTAAAACATATTCTAATTTAATAATCAATTAAAGAACACTTAGTTGATTCTGAGTATATATCCAAAAGAAGTGAAAGCAGAGATTGGAACAGATATCTGCACACCCATGTTCAAAGCAGCACTATTCGCAATAGCCAAAGGTGGAAACAACCAAGTATCCATTGACGGGTGAAGGAAGAAACAAAATATGGTGTGTGTGTGTGTATATATATATATATATATATATATATATATATATATAATGAAATATTATTCAGTCTTTAAAAAGGAAGAAAATTCTGACACATATTACAACACAGATGAACTTTGATGACATTATGCTAAATGAAATAAAACAGTAACAAAAAGACAAATATTGTACGATTCTCTTATATAAGGTACCTGGAATAGTCAAATTCATAGAAAGTGAATGGTGGTCACCAGGGGCCAGGGGAAGGGAGGGAAAGGAGTGTATGTAATGCGTAAAGAGTGTCAGGGAAGATAAGTTCCAGAGATAGATGGTGGTATGGCTGCACAACAACATGAATGTACTTAACGTGACAGAAGTGTACACTTAAAAATGGTTAAAATGGTGAATTGTATGTTACATATATTTTACCATAATAAAAAAATCCAGCACATTTAGTTGAGCTCTTCTGTACTATGTTATTATGGATTCAAAGAAAAAGTCAAAGGTTTCCCGTTTTTTGGAGAATATAATTTAGTAGAGGAGGAGAGGAGACAGAGCATCTACAATTATAAAGCAACTAATAAAGGGCTATAGTAGTACTGGCACTTAGTCCTTTATGAGAATACCAAAGGAAGTAATTGTGGGGGTAAGCCTGGGGGTACACAAGGGAGGAATGAGCGGGACTTGGCCTTTTTTGGGCAAGGAAGGGTGAGGAGACACTAGAGAATGAACAGCCTTAACAAAAGGACAGGAGACATAACATTTCATGGCGTATCTGGGGAATAGTTAATAGACTAGTATGAACAGAGTATGGTGCATGAGGGGAACAAGATGAAGTTGAAAAGAAAGTTGCGAATCAGACTGAATCACATGCTTAGGCATTTGGACTTTCACCAGTAGGTGGCAGGGAGGCACTGCACAGTTTTGCTTTATTTTATTTTGTTTTTGAGGAAGATTAGCCCTGAGCTAATATCCGCTACCAATCCTCCTCTTTTTGCTGAGGAAGACTGGCCCTGAGCTAACATCTGTGCCCATCTTCCTCTATTTTACATGTGGGACGCCTGCCACAGTGTGGTTTGATAAGCTATGCGTAGGTCCATGCCTGGGGTCTGAACTGGCGAACCCTGGGCTGCCGAAGCACAGCGCGCGAGCTTAACGGCTACGCCACAGGGCCAGCCCCCTGCACAGTTTTTTTAACAGGAGATTTTTTAGTTGTGATGAGACTGGGGTTTTATAAAAGCAACAACAGCAATAATACTGAGGATGGATTAGACACCTGAAGAGACTGAAAGCAAGAGGAGCGGTTAGGAGGCTGTTGCATTAGTTCTGGTGCAAGATGATAAAAGTATGAACTAAGGAAATGCCAGTGGCAAAGGAGAAAGATTAGCTCATACTTTAATAAATATTTGTTTGAGTATCATCTGTCAGACTGTGCAAGATTTGGGGGATAAAATTCAAATTATTACTAAATCCTACCTCCCCCAAGTTATTTGTTTATAATGCATATATAATATATTGTACATCCACACATTCAATATTTACTGAACACTCACCATATGCCATGTCCTGTATCTGGTATTGGGCACACAGTAACGAATAAGACACATGCTCCAGTAATGAGACAGATAATACATACATAAAACCATCATAAATTAGGCTATCAAGAGAATTAAAATGTAGGATAGCATGGAAGACTATGTCTGTGCCTTCTTTAGACTGGGTTGTCAGGGAGGGTCTATCTTTCTGATGAGGAGACATGGAAGTGAGCTCTGAATGATAAGGAGGGCTTGTCAGATCAGAGGGAAGAGCATTTCAGGCACAGGGAAGAGAGGGGGCAAAAGTCCTAACTATACGCAATTCATTCAGTGTGCTATCATCACCATGTTAGCCCCTAACTATACGCAATTCATTCAGTGTTCTATCATCACCATGTTAGTCCCAAACACCATCATCTTTTGCCTCGACTATGTTAACAGATTCCTAATTGATGTCCCCAATACCGTTCTTAATCCCCAGTAATCTGTACTTCAATAAGAGTGAATTTAAACTCCCCTCAACACACACCTAATTATGTTAGTGTCCAGTTTAAATCCTTTTAATGGCTTTCCAATGCACTTAACACTAAAATCCAAGTCCTTATCTTCACCCAACAAGGCCTACATGATCCAGCCCGGGCTACCTTTTTAACCTACTCTTTTTGAAGACTAGCCCCGAGCTAACTACTGCCAATCCTCCTCTTTTTGCTGAGGAAGACTGGCCCTGGAAGACCATGCCCATCTTCCTCTACTTTATACGTGGGACGCCTACCACAGCATGGCTTTTGCCAAGCAGTGCCATGTCCGCACCTGGGATCTGAACCCGCGAAGCCTGGGCTGCCGAGAAGCAGAACGTGTGAACTTAACCGCTGGGCCACCGGGCCGGCCCCTTAACCTACTCTTACGCTGCAGTAGCAGTCTCTATTTGATTCCTCAATGGATAAAAATTTTTCCACCAAAAGGGCTTGTACACGTGCCTCTGGCAGGAATTCTCTTCCCCATTCTTGGCTTGGTTAACTCCTACTCATTCCTTAAGATCTCACCTTAAATATCATTTCTCAGGGAAGCTTTTTGTGATCTCTCAATCTAAATCAGGTCCCCACTAAAATCTCTCTTCCTATCTTCACTTTTCCTTTATTGCATTTATCCCAGTTAATAAATATATATGTGAGATTACTTACTTAATATGTCTTCCCCAATAAGCTAAAAGAGGAAGGGATTGGCTTTATTTGCTCACTGTGAATACCTAGTATCAATACCTATCTCCTAAGAGGTACAAAATAAATATCTGTTGATTGAATGAATGAGTAGCCTCTGCCTTTTGGGACCTTATAGACTAGTGGAAGGGGGAGAGAAACAAAAGCCTGGTTACAATGCTGTGTAATAAGTGCAAGAAAGAGGTATGCACAGAGTGCTCTGGCAGTGCAGAGGAGGGTCATTTGCCTTGGGGAAGAATACAAGAAAGGAGTTGGGAGAAGGATCTGGGAGGAATTGATGTCTGGGATGAGTCTTAAAGGATGAGAAAGAATAAGTTAGAGAAGGAATACTTAAGGTAAGGGAGCAGCATGGGCAGGATAGAGTTAGAACCACCTGAAGGTAGTTTAGAATGGCTGCAGCTTTGTGTTTATGTGTGTTTGTGTATGTGAAAGAGAGGAGAGGGTCATAGAGAGAGGAGGTGAAAAAGAGAGGGAAGGAGGAGGAGGGAAGAATGGGAGAAAAGAGTGAGAGAGACACACACTGAGGGCGCAGCAGAAGTGAAGGGAGTAGGATAGGACATATTGGGAATTGAGTTATACGCTGTCCTAAGAAGATAAAACTTCACCTTCAATGGATATGGAGCACTAAGTGGATGAATGATAGGGTCGTATCTATGTTTTAGTTAATCTGATGGAGAAGAAACTAAACGAGGGCACTTAAGGATCATTTTGCAATTTTATAGAAAAGTAATAATGAGACTTGGAACTAAGCAGGGAAGGTGAGAATAAGAAAAAGGGATAGGTCTGGGAGTGAGAAGGTAGATTCTATAGGGTTGAGGGATTCATGAGATCAAGGTGGTAGGTGACAAGGTGTGGTCAAAGACAACTTCAGGGTCTAGAAATTAGGAGAAAAATTGTGTGTTTAAAAAGAGATTGCAAATGAATAAACATTATTTGAATTTAAAATGTTAAAGGGTTCATGGAAGAATAAGAACCAAATCAAGAAAAGAACAGAAGGGGAAAATGACAGGTAGAAGAAAAATATGCAGTGGAAGCCAAATGGGAGACGGTTTCGATGAAGAGTCAGATGCTGCAGAGATCAAGGAGCAACAGTGGTGGCACAGAAGGCAGGCTGCTGTAAGTTGATGAGGAAACAGCATGTGTAATCTTTTTTCTTCTTAATGTAAACATTTTATAGAAATATAGAAAGATAAATACATGGACCATAAGTGTACACATTGATGAATTTTCACAAAGTGAACATGTCCATGAACCCAGCACCCAAATCAAGAAATTAACTGCAACCGCAAAGCCCCTCTGCACCCTCTCCTGCTCACTACCCTTTCTACTCTGTTCCTAGTAAACTGACTTCTAACATCATAGATTAGTTTTGCCTGTTTTTGAACTTTATAATAAATAGTATTGTAAGCGTGTACCCTTTGGGTTTAGCTTCTTTGGTTTGACATTGTGTTTGTGAAATTCATAGATATTATCGCATCATTCTCATTGCTGTACAGTGGTCTGTTGTACACATATACACTATTTATCCAATCTATTGATTGTGAGGCGTTTGAATTGTTCATAGTTTTTCACTATTATGACCAGTGCTACTATGAACATTAACATACGATCCTTTGGTGAACACAGATACGCATTTCTGTTGGTTATCTTGCAGTGGAAATCCTGGCTTATAGAGTATGCATATATTTAAATTTAGTAAATAATGCCAGACAGTTTTCAAAGATGTTCATTTTAATTTATACTCCCACGAGCACAGTATAAGAGTTCTAGTTGCTCTATATTCTTACTACTGTTTGTCTTTTTTAAAATTTCAGCCATTCTGATGGGTGTGTTTAGGGTGTTCTTTGAAGAATAGTTTGGTGACAAACGGGAGAAAGACATGAGGCAATGACTTAAAGGAGAACAGCAAGATTTTAGGATGGGGCTAACTACAAGCTAAGGGAATAGAATCAGAAGCTTAGAAGAGACTAAAGATATAAGAAAGGATAACCGGTAAACTAAGGGAAACTTAAGGCAGGCAACAGCAAGTGAGACCAATACTACAGGTTGACTCTCCTGTGAGAGAGGAGGGAAGAAAGTAGGCAAGACAGACAATATAATTTCTTAGTGAGGTAAAAGGAAGGGGTCATGTGCTGAGTGTTGGAGCAATACACCAAGTTTAGGGACTGTTGGAAAATGGTAATGAGAGCTATGAAAGAGGAGTCAAAGGATTGTTGAACAACAGTGAAGGATATCTTTGAAATTTTGGTGATTCATATTAGGAAATTATAATTTACGGCACTGCCTACTCTGACTCCTCAACTGGGAGCATTTCTCCATTCAGGAGAATTCCCTTTGGTGGGTCGGGGTGGTCACATGCTCCACCCAGTTAACACATTTCTAAACAGTATGTCGAATGGGATTTATTTTTCTTGCTATCCTGGAATTCCAACTATGGCCCAAAGCAGAGGACTAAGGGTGCTAAGCATCTTACATTCTAAAGAGCTACCAACCTTTGAAGCCAGCCCCCTTCCTTCAAGGGCTCACTGAGAGGAGCCAGTTCAGGACAGGTCTCACCATCAATTCCCCGGCTCTGGCCTCTTGCATCTTATCCCTACTCACTCAATATAGGAAGAGGGTGATTGGGGGTTTTGCGAAAATATGGAATTTTAGTTGTGAGGAAACGCACACTCTCCCCCCTTAAAGGGGGACTCCAAGAAAATCAGTTATAAAGATGAGAAACTTCTAGAAAGGGAGACTATCATCTCATTCCCTAACTGGATATTTCCTGAGCTCAGAGTCCATAGGCCCACTCTGCCAACTCCATAGACCCAGAGTGGTGAGAGTTCTTGGAAGCAGTTTTGGGAGCCAAAAGAATGAATGTGAGTGGAGGCACAGGAGCCATGAAGCCATGCAATGGGATACCTAACCTAAAGGAGCTGGAGTCTATACCAATGAAGAGGCCAAAGCAAGACAGTGCTGCCCTTTGAGGGTCCTCAGCTCCACAGCTAAGGCATCAGAAAGAATCAGAATGGACTACTGAAAAGCTTGTGTTACCCCCCCCCCCCCAACCACTGAGATGCTGGCAGTCAGTGATACCAGATGAGTTAGAGTCCTAGAAGGAGGAGAGGAAGGAGGCATCTCAGAGGCAACCCATGGTCCCTTCTTCTACTTAAAGCTATTGGGAGTGAAGCTCTAGCCTGCCCCGGGCAGGTGCAGGGTAGAAGGGAGGAGTCAAGTTTTGACTTGACTTGTAAATTTAAGTTTAAAAAATGAATGGAAATTTTACTGCAAAATTAAATGAGGAGGGAAGGAAATGGGGCTAAGCTGTAAACACCAGTAAGACCAATAAAAGTATCAAAAAGTTATGGAATTTGGCCAAAATGTCATTAAAGGATCTATTACTCACTGGTAAAATTAAAAGTAGTATTATGAAAAAATAATCTCTTATACTGATTAGAAGTGATTGGGTTTTTAATTTTAGCTGGTAAAAAACAAGAGTCCTTTTTCTCTTTAAAGATTGGCACCTGAGCTAACAACTGTTGCCAATCTTTTTTTTTCTTCTGCTTTTTCTCTCCAAATCCCCCCAGTACATAGTTGTATATTTCAGTTGTGGGTAAGACTCCTTTCTTTGATCTCAGAGAAGTTTGAAAATTCCAATAAAAGCTAAGATGTTTAAAGAACCATCTTTAGTCCCTGTGAAATATTCCTGGTTATTTGCTGACTCGAGCAAAGTTTCAACTCAGTGTCCCAAAGGGAAATTGGTCCCTGAAGTCTCTGGTTAAATACACGGGGGAAAATAATTCCTGTCCTTGAGATTCATAATGACCATCTGCATATGAATGGTATCCAAAAGTTCTAGATTAAAAAAATGTTTAAGCAGCACTTCCAAAATTTATTTGAACAGAAAATCTTTTTTTCTCCTCTGTGATACTTATTAAAAAGTCATAACAGTAGTGTTCCTTGAGATACATGGATGGTAATACTAGGTTAAAATATTTACTCCAATGATAGAGATTTTATCTCTAGAAGGTACTTTTAACTTTTTTTTTTGATGAAGATTAGCCCTGAGCTAACTGCTGCAAATCCTCCTCTTTTTTTGCTGAGGAAGACTGGCCCTGAGCTAACATCCATGCCCATCTTCCTCCACTTTATAAGTGGGACGCCTACCACAGCATGGCTTGCCAAGCGGTGCCATGTCCGTACCTGGGATCCGAACCGGTAAATCCCGGGCCGCCGAAGCAGAATGTGTGAACTTAACTGCTGCACCACCGGGCCAGCCCCTACTTTTAACTTTGTTTTGCTAAGTGACTGTTATCACCCACGATGAAAATGTACAACACTGATTTTAAAGAGGAGCAGATACAAGAATACAGATAAGTGAGTGGGACAATAATTTTAAAGCTGCAGAGTGAAACTGGGCTCAGTATATTTGCGACATATAAAGCTTTAAGATACAGCTGTACAGTAAGGTACATCTTCCTGAAATTTCTATTTTAATCTACGGCAAGTAACCTAAAATAGTTTTGGGCTACATTTTCTCAGACACCCCAAGAATGTGGATTCATTTTCTGCTGCTGAAAAGTTTAAGCAGCACTGAATTAAAGCTTATGTTCTACTAGGTGTAGCTGACAAATTAACAGAGAGATTTTCTGAAGAGAATGAGACTCTTAAAATTATTTAACTGAAACTTAAAAGCTGTAATTCTATAATTAAACTCTTCCACATGCTGAATATCTGCTAATATATGTCAAAGTTTTCTATGAAGTATTATTACCAAAAAGAAGCATACATCAAAGGAATAATCAGGTATTTAAAAATTCTTTTGAAGTATTAGGTTAAATTAAGGACCTAGTTTAAGGAGATTCATTCTATTAAACTACTTATATCCTAGTATTTTCATAGAAATAAACCCCTCTAAAGGTAAGACAGGGGAAGAAATTTATTTACTGAGTTTCATCTAATTTCACGTGGAAATAATTTGGAGTGCAGAGAAGAGTATTTTTTTCTCTTTTTTCTGAGATTTAAAAAAAATATATGTAAGAACGGAAGTTCCTGAATTACAACATTTCACCCGACGTGTAGGCTTACCTGTATTCCAGCATGGCTACAGAGGTAAAAGTCAAACTCATACGGATGTGTAATATCGGTATCAACTGTTGTTCCAGCTGGGATATTGCCACTTCTTCCGACCTAGATTTGTTTGATCAAAGTTCAAACAACAAGACAAAGGTAAAGACCGGGTCTGAAAGCACTTAAAAAAAAATGTATAAGTATATAAGCTGATCCCATGTTTCATTACTTTCAGCTTAAAATATTACTTAAGCAGGCCTTAAGAGCAGAGCTTATTCTAGTCCTGGTTCCTATTCTTAAATGTTGCCGAAAAAAAGAGCTGATAAAACAACGAGTTATTAGTCTCTACTGATGCTTAGCTGGTAGTTAATCCCAGTATGGGTGGAAGACTTAAATAAATTTTTTTTTTTGGCTGAGGAAGATTTGCCTTGAGCTAACATCTGTGCCAATCTTCTTATATTTTGTATGTGGGTCACCACCTCAGCATGGCATGAGTGGTATAGGTCCATGCCTGGGAACCAAACCAGGGCCACCAAAGCTGAGTGTGCCAAACTTAACTACTAGGCCACAGGGCTGGCCCAAGCATTTTTTTTTGGCTGAGGAAGATTCATCCTAAGCTAACATCCACTGCCAATCTTCTACTTTCTTGTATGTGAGCTGCCACCATAGCATGGCCACTGACAAATCAGTGATGTAGGTCCATGCCCAAGAACCATTTGTATGGGGAGGGCCAGCCTGGTGGTGTTGGTGTTAAGTTCATGTGCTCTGCTTTGGTGGCCCAGGGTTCGCAGGTTCAGATCCTGGGCACGGATCTAGCACCAGACATCAAACCATGCTGTGGTGGCATCCCACGTACAAAACAGAGGAAGACTGGGACAGATGTTAGCTCAGGGTGAGTCTTCCTCAAGCAAAAATAGGAAGATTGGCAACAGATGTTAGCTCAGGGCCAACCTTCCTCACACAAAAAACATACCAAAAAACAAAAAACCATTTGTATGGGGAAACCAAAGCTCAGGAATATAAAATAATTTGCCCAATAGTATACAATAAAGGGCAGAAGTGGGAGTCAAACATGGAAATGACTGCAAAGAAAATTTCATACTAGCAGTTTCAACATCTTATAAGGAAACAGACATCATGATTTCCTCTGAGTAGATACGATGTAAAGGAAATGGTTTGAAATTCCTGATAATGAAAGGCTCCTAATAAAACATTTTAAAATGCATATGTATACTCACCTCCACCTCCTTATTCCTAACACATTAAAATCATTAACAATAAGCAGAGGTTAACAAGGCTAGCAAATCAGAATCTATTTTACCGACTCAGACATTGTTTCTGCCATGTGAAGGACGTGGTGGCTTGAGTTACAGCTGTGTGGACCAATGAACTAGACTTTACTGAGCATAAAACAAAGAAAACAGTTCCTAATCTACTAAATTATGCCTATTCTTAACACACAAATCTCCGAATTAATATAAATATAAAAAGTTTTACTCTATTTAGAGAGGCAGCAGAATGCCTGGGTTCATATCACAGCTCCACCAGTTTCTAGTTATGCGATCTAGAGCACAGTATTTTACCTCAATGTGCCTCTGGCTCCCTCATTTCTAATTATCTCTCATCTGTAATTAGTAGTACTATTTAGAGCAAAGGTGACAGAGAAGCAAACAAATGATGGATTGGCATGACTAAAATCAGATATTTATTAATCATTAAATCTAACTTACCTGTTCCTAATTTTACCTTTGAAGAAATCTTTGGTTTCCAAGGTATGGAAATGTACCTAGTAATTTGGGGTCAAAGGCCTGTAACAACCTGGAGGCCATATTAAAACTATCACCACTGCTATTAGAGACGTAGTATAGAACAGTGATTAAAAGCACTCTGGAGCCAGACTGACTGATTTGAGCCTTAGCTCTACCAACTACTAGCTTTGTAACCTTGGGAGGTTACTTAACCTCCATGTGCCACAGTTTCCTCCTGTGGAAAGTGGAGATAATAATAGTAAGCATCTTAATGTGTTTGTGAGGATTAGATGAGTTAAATTTATAAAAAATATCTAGACCAATGTCTGCTATTATTATTCCTTTCTCTGTATTACTACTACCATCACCACCAATCTACAGCTAGCTAACCTTTATTGAGTGCATAGTATGTGCCGAACACTATTCTAAGTGCATTACATATTATAATTCATTTAATCCTCTCAACAATTCAAATAAGGTAAATAATATTATCCAAACCTTGCTGAGAAAGAAACAAGCACAGAAATGTTAAGCTACTTGCCCAAAGTTACACAGTGAGTGTAACCAAAGACCAAATACAAGATCATTTCTCTCTCTCCATCTTTTCCATTGAACCCCTTTCCCAGCGAACACTGACACTTGCAATCCTCAGATTTCTCTGCTTCAAGGTTTGCAGGATACGGGCAGAGCACTGGAAATGACAGCAAGAGCTACCTGCCTATGTTGCACACAGACAAGACGACAGATTTCCCTAGGTATTTATACCTCCCTCCTCTTCCTGATTATAAAAATACATACTCACATTATAAAATACAGAAAACAATTCTGGGCATGTTAAAGCAAGCATTGTTTAAAAGTTAGTTTGCATGAATTTCCACTATCACTCTAGAAAGTCCCTAGCTTTAAAAAAAACTAATTTTTATAAGATATTTTAAAAAGAGAACATACCTTTTTCTTCTGAACATTTAAGAAAAATATGAACAGAGAGAACAATTTTAAAACTATGAGTGTCTTCACAAAAACAAAAAAGGGGCTGGCCCAGTGGCGTAGTGGTTAAGTTCGTACTCTCTGCTTGGGCGGCCCAGGGTTTGCCAGTTCAGATCCGGGGTGTGGACCTACGCACCGCTTATCAAGCCATGCTGTGGCAGGCGTTCCACATATAAAAAGTAGAGGAAGATGGGCATGGATGTTAGCTCAGGGCCAATCTTCCTCAGCAAAAAGAGGAGGATTGGCAGTGGATGTTAGCTCAGGGCTAATCTTCCTCAAAAAAAAAAAAAAAAAAAAAAAAAAAGAAGAAAACAAAAACACAAAAGCATTAATGGGATTTTGAACATTTAAAGTGGTACTAAGCAGAAATGTGCTACTATATATTAGAATTTCTGCTGTTGCAGGAAGCCTTTGTTAAGTGCTCTATGAACTATGTTAGATAAGGTTGGCTTATCATAGTATTAAAACAGACGTAAGATTACCCGTTCTGTCCTATCAGCACAAAATAATCGAGTGTGATGTCTCTTCTGAACTACAATATAGGTTATTCCAGGTTGATAGTCTTTCTCCAAACTGATGCAGGCTTCTCGAATGGCTAGTAGTTCATAATATAATACCTAGAGAAGATGAAATAGAAAGAGTTGATATAGCCAGCTGTTCTCTTATACATACTTCAAAGTAAGATAATGATTTAGCTTCAGGATTTAGTAATGTCATCACTTTACACCTAAATAGACCTCTCTTTTCCATCTTAACTATTATGAGAGCATGGTCTTAGCAATCAAGGCTTATACATCCATAGTAAACATGTTAAAAGGGAAAATCTAAGGAAGCATCATATTTTGACTTTAGGAATTCTTAACTTAATTAAGACTTCTAAATTCAGAACGAGACACCATATTATAAACCCAGTATCTGATTTAACCAAAGTATGCTGAGATCCCAGGGAACCAACCTGCCTAAACTGTCCCTCTGAAACACCATCCCGATAAAAGATGATACGAGTAGGTTTGAACCGAGTTGACTTATAAAACTGAATGAGAAGTTCTCGGACCATGGAGGCCAAGTCCTGGATGATCTCCTGTCGGGGTCTCTGAACTCTTACTGTAGCACAGTATCTGCTTGGGTGGGCATCCATACTACCTACAACCTAGGTTGGAAAAAGTAAAGAAACACAAAAATTAAGATAATCCAAACTACAAGAATATAAATTTTACCACAATAAAAAAAACTGAAAAAAAGAACATGGATTTCATTTAAATTTGTATTTTATTATAATCTTCCTATTTATCACTGTTCATTTTGAGAGTAATCAAACACAGATAATTCCCAGTGAAGAAGAGAATAAAAGACCTAATATAGGGTCAAAAACTATTTTCCTATAAGTAGGCTGCACTTTACTTTTAATAATTAGATTTAAATTTATAGATGTTGCTGGTGGACCTAGAGATTACTAAGGAAAGAGACATAAGGAAAATAAAAGAAAGGAGGTAAGGTAAAAAGAGGACTCAACCAAACCTTTGATTTCGCTCTCTCTCTTACACTTTAGCAAACCACCCCAGAAGCCAGGCTTAAGACTTTGATATCATCTTGGAACTGTTATGCTTCATAAATTTTAAAAGAATTTTTCTGGGCCCAGGCCCGTGGCTGAGTGGTTAAGTTCGCATGCTCTGCTGAGGCAGCCCAGGGTTTTGCTGGTTCGAATCCTCGGTGCGGACATGGCACTGCTCATCAGGCCATGCTGAGGCGGCGTCCCAGATGCCACAACTGGAAGGACCCACAACTAAGAATATACAACTATGTACCAGGGGGCTTTGGGGAGAAAAAGGAAAAAAATAAAATCTTACAAAAAAAAAAAAAAAAAAAAGAACTTTTCTCATTGAAATGTCCTTCAACCAGAAGGCTTGAATCTATAGTCAGTCTTAATGTCTTAAATTTGTGTTCTGTATCTGTTCCTCAGAGAAGTTAATCTTGGCTTTGAGAATTACTCTTAATTTTTCTCTTTCTATGTCTCTTTAAATATTGTTATGTGTTTGGAGCAGGGGGAACTTTGAAACATGATCTCTGGAACCCAAATATTTTTATTTTTTAATTTTATTTATTTTTCTTTTTGAGGAAGATTAGCCCTGAGCTAACATTTGCTGTCAATCCTCCTCTTTTTGCCAAGGAAGACTGGCCCTGAGCTAACATCCATGCCCATCTTCCTCTACTTTATATGTGGGATGTCTACCACAGCATGGCGTGCCAAGTGGTGCCACGTCCACACCTGGGATCCGAACTGGTGAACCCTGGGCCACTGAAGGGGAACATGCGCACTTAACCGCTGCGCCACTGGGCCAGCCCCTCGAATATTTTTAAAATGTCTACTACACATCATTCTGATCAGACCCTAGGCTGAGAACCAGCTGGTCAGTGCTTCAAGCTTCTCTTTCTTTTAGGGTACTATTTATACCAAAGTCATGCCTCAAAAATGGAACTCTGGGGGCCGGCCTGGTGGCGCAGTGGTTAAGTGCACATGTTCTGCCTCTCGGTGGCCTGGGGTTCGCTGGTTCGGGTCCCGGGTGTGGACATGGCACTGCTTGGCACACCATGCTATGGTAGGCGTCCCACATATAAAAGGTAGAGGAAGACAGGCACGGATGTTAGCTCAGGAAGAGGCTTCCTCAGCAAAAAGATGAAGACTGGCAGTAGTTAGCTCAGGGCTAATCTTCCTCAAAAAAAGAAAAAAGGTTCATTGCAGCATTATCTATTGTACCCAAGACATGGAAACAACCTAAGTGTCGAATGAATGGATAAAGAAAATGTGGCATATACATACAATGGAATATTATTCAGTCATAAAAAGAATGAAATCTTGCCATTTGTGACAACATGGATAGACTTGATTGCATTATGCTAAGTGAAATAAGTCAGACAGAGAAAGACAAATACTATATGATCTCACTTATATGTGGAATCTAACAAAACAAAACAAAATCAACTAACCTCCTAGATACAAAGAACAGACGGGTGTTTGCCAGAGGTTGGTGGTGGGTGATAAAGTGAAAGGGTAAAGGGAGTCAAAAGGTACAAACTTCCAGTTATAAAAGTCCTAGGGATGTACTTTACAGCATGGTGACTATAGTTAATAATACTGTATTGCATATTTTAAGGTTGCTAAGAGAGTAAATCTTAAAAGTTCTCATTAAAAGAAAAAACATTGTTCGTAACTGTGTATGGTGACAAATGTTAACTAGACTTATTGTGGTGATCATTTTGCAATTACACAAATATCGAAACATTATGTGGTATACCTGAAATTAATGTAATGTTATATGTCAATTACACCTCAATTAAAAATAAATAAATAAATAAATAAAAACAGTACTTCAAAAGAGTTTCTAATTTTGTGTCAGTATTTTAAATGTCTTACTTACCTGAAACCAAAATATGGAACATTTTTACATTTTTCTTCTGTGGGTCAGATTAGAAAATAATCAAGAGTTTTTAAAAAGATAAGCTAGAACTTCTCTACTTATTTATGTACATGGGTTGTATCTGCTTTTTCTTTATCTTCTATATGTAAAACAAAGAAAAAAAAAGAGCTCTCACCATTTCTTTCCCCTGAATGGTATCTCACTACTAAAAAACAAATCCATATCCCTTCTGATGGCACAGAAAGCCTCACGAAAGCTTCCTAGCCTCACAGCCTGCTATACTACATTCCAATTCTCTGCATTTCTCAACGTTCTCCAAACACTCCAGGTTTCTGCCATCTAAATTTTAATATACATTGCTATCAAGGTAGTATCTATTATATTATGTGGCATTTATTACTTACATTTGTTTCTCACACTAGTCTTTAAGTTCTTGGGAATAGAGGCCATATAGCAAAAAGAATCAATTAACAAATTCCATTTACAAAACCTCTGATAATCTAAAGGAAGTGGATATTTTGTAGAAATGGATCTAGTAGAAAAGAACAGTGACCACCTAGAAGTCCAAAAGAATTCAAGTATGAGTAAGCTTTCTTGGAAAATGACCCCAAAATAGCAAACCTGAAATAAGTTTTTTGAATTTCTTTATCATTTTATCTTCTATAAGAACTTTTTTGTTGTGTGTGTGAGGAAGATTGGCCCTGAGCTACCATCTGTGCCAATCATCCTCTGCTCTGTATGTGGCATGCCGCTACAGCATGGTTTGACAAGTGGTTGTTGTAGGTCCGTGCCTAGGATCCAAACTGGTGAACCCCAGGCCGCCAAAGGGGACCATGCAAACTCAGCCACTACGCCGCACGGCCAGTCCCTATAAGAACATTTTAATGAGTACCACAGATGGCTCAATACTACCTCTAGGATACTTGAAATGTAAATAATTTATGCATAACTATAAAAATACAAAGTAATACAATTTATTAATAAAGTCAATTTTCTTTATTAATGAAATAGCTTTGGAATCCTAAGTGAAATTTTTAATATTTATTACTAACATTTTCAAGGATAAATAAGATTTATCAGATTGTTAAAATTTAAACAAAGATTATAATAATGGATGGTAGAAAAAATATAAAAAGTCTTCCAGTTTAACTTCTGAAATTTACCAAGTATGCCTAAAATATGTTGACATTTTCAAAACATTGGCCTTTGTTAAAATTAAGCAGTTTTCAAGTTGGGTAAAACATTGTCTGGCTTTCTGCAATTTATAAGAAATACACTTAAAAGATTGACAGAGAAAGGTTACAAATATAGAGGTGGGCAAAGATATAATGGGCAGATGTTAAAAGTAGGAGTGGCAGTATTAAAACAAATAAAGACTTCAGCTGCAAAGTATTAAACTGGATGAAGGTGGCAGATATCTTATATTGGAAAAAATGCAATCCACTAAGCTTATATGTAATGCATCTTTCTGTAACAAAGACATGACTGAAATACATAAACTCTTTGAATTATAAAAAGTAACTGAAATGTATAACCATGGAGAGAAACAGACAAATTCAAGTAGGAAACAGAAGACTTGAGTAATTTAATAAACTTGATTTAATAGATATATGTAAGGAATTTGTAGTTTCCAACCATAGAATTCTTTCAAAAACACAAAGAACATTTGAAAGTTGGCTCTTAGATATATATATATTTATAAAAGTTAGTTTCCAATAAAATATTAAAATTAAAAAAGCTGAAACCAAAATGTTGATCTTTGCGTAAACTTTAGATACCCTGACTAATGACACTCACAGCAGCAATAGAAGGCTTCTTCCCATCACCAGCTGGTGGATGAGTGACATCTGCTCCCAAAAAGATCACTGGTTGCTGGAACACAGAAGGTCTTAAACACATTTTTTAAAAGAGTTAGATAATCCATTTTTTTCATTATCCATTTATCTGTTTCATAATACTGTAACACAACTTCAAGTTGCTGACACAGCACAGAGGAGGTCCCGTATAGACAGTTTCACAGGCCTGATCTACTGACAGCTGTGTTCTCTTAATTCGCGAAGCCCTAGTCAATGAAGTAAAAGCTGTCACAATGGGTCTATCAATGTCTTATTCAGAGCAGTCTCCTCCCTTAAGTGACGGTGCTGGTGGTTGCAAAGGGCAACTGCTGCTAGTGTTCTTCGTAATAGGCATAAAGTAATAAATTTCCTCACATTAAGCCACCAATTTGTATCAATCTTTCTTTAATCTATTTACATTTTAAGCTTATGTAATCTCTCAAGGAGAAAAAGAATCATTAAACTTTACACTGGAAGGGATTATGGGAGTCTATTATTCCCCCTTCCCTGGCCAAAAGTATAAATTTGAATAACATATATTTAATAGTCATAAAGCAGCTAATAGTTCATTTTATTTTCAAAACTCTATCCTTTAAGATTCAAACGACTGTCTCTTAGTTTAGACTTAATAAAATTCTATATTCATTTCAGTTATGAATCTCATTTATTAGGGATAGGAAGTAGAGGCTGTATGGAAAAATAGGGAAAAAAAGAGCTTTTGTGTCAAATACACATGGATCCATCCTTCTAATGCTAATTTGTGGTGCATACTGGTCAAGATATTTAACTTTTTAAAGCCCTAGCTGTTTCAACTATTTAAGGAAAACTGTCATTCAATTCTCCAAATAACAGCCTCTTCCCCAGCAACTGTTTCTAGGTCACTGAGCTCTTGGACATGCTAGCAACCTAAGAGAAACATCTGCCTTCCCCCCCTGACTGCAGCTGCAGCAGGGGCTGATTGCTTGCCTAACTGACGGACTTAACCGACATGGCCGCTGCAAGACCCTCCTTTCTAGGTGGGTGAGCGGCCTCACGATACCAGGTTGAAGATGACTATCAAAAAATGAAAAAATTTTTCAAGCTGGGCTCTCCTGTGAGAAATAAATAAAGCTCTCAATACTTTCTAGCTAGGCAAGAGGTACTTTGCATACTAAATGAACATGGAGGTGGGAGGGGATTTTCACAAGGGAATCTCTTAATCTGGCCAATCCAAATTCTTTTAATTTTTTGCCAAAATGTCTACTTATCTACCATGGCAAAAATCATCAAAGCCATTTCTTACAGAGATCTTAGATATGTCAATATATAGAAAAATAATGACTATGTTATTAAGTGATTAGCTTATCTTACCTTTGATGAGGTACAAGAATATTATTTATCCCTCCGAGTTTAACATTTATCTTTAGGCACAGGTTTGAGAGAGTCTGAGGGGATGTTTTTATGACATTCTTGACTTGAACACACTGTGTAGCCATACCCAAAAGTGTATCTCCTACACGTTTCACCTCCGCTATGGAACAAATGCAAACATCTCTAGTTATAACAAAGGTCACACTTTACTGAAAATTAAGCCAATGTTTCCCCCCTTGAAATACAACCCTCCATTACAGGATACCAAAAATTACACCAATACTAAAACAATGCTGTTAAAATTTAAAGTATACTGCCTTAAAGAATAGGTTAAGTATTTAGTGATAATTTTTCCAATGGTTTTCTTCTTTGTATAAGAGAGCATATTTCTACCATCATAAAAATAGTATAACCACAATAACTGAAAAACCATAAGAGGAGAGTATCATATATAATCCCTTATCAGCATTTTACTGTACTCTTCCAGAACTTTTGTCATTTATATTATTTTAATGCAATTATAATCATAGTCTACTTATAACTTTCAATGCTATTCTCTGACCTTTAATTTAAAAATACAGAGGTATTACAGTGTAAAGAATAAAAGGCCTTTGTTCCTTTCCCCTTCTCCGTCATTGTAACTACCATAAAAAGTTCAGTGTACATAACTTCCTATATATAAAACACATGGAAAACATTTTAAAATAAAAATTGAGAACATGCCATCCATTCTATCTTGCAACTTGTCATTTTCATTTAATGATACAGTATGTTCTGAATCTCAATATATACATCACCCTTATTATTTATAACAACAGCAGTTATGCTGTTTCTACATGCCATAAGGTATCTAACCAGTCACACACTGATAGATTTCTAGCTTGTTCTAGGTTTTCATTATTTCAAACAATCCTAGGAATAATATCCTTGTATATTTTTATTTTTCTTCATTTGTGTAACTACAGCTTCAGGATAAATTTCTATAAGTAGAATTCAGGGGTCAGATATATATATATATTTAACATTTTTATAGATACTGACAAACTGCTCTCCAAAAAGGTTTATTTAGTCATTCAACAAATATTTAATGTGCACCTACTACATGTTACTATTGTGCAAGGCTCTGGATATACAATGGTGAGTCAACAGAGACACTGTTCCTGCCCTTACAGAGCAAGAGGCATTAAATAACTGCTCAAATTTAACATTACAACTGTGAAAGCAACATAAAGGAGAGGTATAAGGAGCTTTAAGATAAAAAAAGTGAGAGAATTTGACCTTGTCAGGGAGGTAAGGCAAAGCTTCCCAAGGAAGGGATGTCCAAACTAAAATTCAAAGGAAGAAAGTCAAAAGAAGAAGGCACATTTACTTGGTGAAGGGTGGAAGGTGGGCTATGAGAAGCAACACAGGTAGAAAGAAGGGAATGAAGAGTTCCTGTGGGGAAAAAGAGCACAAAGTGAGATGAATTCTGAAGAAGTAGGAAGACACGGATTTGAACATGCAAATCCTTGGAAGACCATATTGAATATCAATTTTATTAACTGCATAATTAAAAACTAAATGGGGGTGAAAGGGAAAGGGATAAATTGGATTTGTATTTTAAAAAGACCACCCTGAATGCTGGTTATAGCTCCAACATGTAGAAGGCTTGAAGGTCATCCTTCCCCTTCTCAAAACAAGAAAAAAGCTGAATGAAAGTCAATAACTTTTTCTTAAATTCATTAGAGAACTGAGGTCACAGGACAAACTGCTACTCCCAAAACAGGTGAATACAAAGAATCACAACCAAGATCAGCTTATTAGAAGCAGATGCTGATGAAGCTAGTAACTGGTAGGAACAATTAAACAGAAACTCCTATAACTCAAAAAGAAAAAAACCCAAACAATCCAAATAAAAAAATAGCCAAAGGACTTGATTAGACATTCTCCTGAAGAAGATATACAAATGGCCAATAAGCACATGAAAGATGCTCCATATCACTAATCATTAGGGAAATGCAAATCAAAACCACAACGAGATACCACTTCAGACCCATTAGGATGGTTATTATCAGAAAAATAGAAAATAACATGTGTTGGCAAGCATATGGAGAAATTGGAACCTTTGTGCATTGCTGGTACGAATGCAAAATGCTGCAGCTGCTGTGGAAAATAGTACGGCAACTGCTCAAAAATTAAATACGGAAGTAATTCAAATATCCATCAATGGATGAACAGATAAATAAAATATGGTATATACATACAATAAAATATTATTCAGCCTTAAAAAGGAAGACAATTCTGATATATAGTACAACATGGATGAAGCTTCAGGACATATGTTAAATGAAATAAAAAAGTCACAAAAGGACAAATACTGTATGATTCATTTACAGGAGGTACCTAGAAGAGTTAAATTCATAGAGACAGAAAGCAGAATGGCAGCTGCTGGGGATGAGGGACGAATGAGAAATTATTGTTTAATAGGTACAGAGTTGCAGTTAGGGATAATGAAAAAATTCTGGGGATGGATGGTGGTGATGGTTCCACTTAACACTACTGATCTATACATTTGTTAAAATGGTAAATTTTATGTTACATATTTTATCACAAAAAAGAATAAAATTTTGATACATGCTACAATATAGACAAACCTTGATGACATTACGCTAAGTAAAACAAGCCAGAAACAAAAGGACAAACACCACATGATTACACCTATCCGAATTACCTAGAATAAATTCATAGAGACAGAAAGTACAACAGAGGCTACCAGAGGTTGGTGGGAGGGGGAATGGGGAGTTATTGCTTAATGGGTCCAGAGTTTCTGTTTGGGATGATGAAAAAGTTCTTAAAATCGATAGTGGTGAGAGTTGCACAACAATGGGAATATATTTAAAGCCAAAGAATTGTTCACTCAAAAATGTTTAAAATGGTAAATTTTATGTTACGTATATTTTATCACACACATAAAAACTTGTTTAAAAAATAGTTAATCCAGGAACACTCCCATAAAAACAGTACATCAGAAGGAATGAAACTATAATCAAAATTTGACACCAAATGACTGACTTAAGGAAGTTATCACCTCTACTAACATGAGACAAATGAAGAGATCCCAGGGCTCAGGCAAAAGAGGGCAAGAGTACAGAAGGAGCTGAAAAATAGGTAGCAGCAGTCAGGAAATGAAAATTAAGTAAAAAATAAGTGGTAAAAGATCAAAGAGTTTTTCTACAAGTAAAAAAAATAGGGTGAAGGGCATAAAGGGGCTTTTTTAAAAAATAAGAATTCCAGAATGATCTAACACTCGAAACCATGTGAGTCGATAGTCTGATTTATAGGTAAACATAAGACAATTAAATGATTGAAAAAAAATTGGAGGAGTGACATCAGTATCACGGTGGAGCAAGCTGTTCCCTTAGTCTTGCCCTGCTAAGATACAATGAAAATGACATTCATTAACCAACAGAGGACATTCACACAGCACATATAGGACATCTGAGAGATCCAAGCAGCCATAAGTCTGAAGGTCGGGGGACTGGATCACTGGGAAACAGTGGAAGGAGCTAAGCAGATCTCTTTTCCCTCCCCAGCAGCAGCAATCTAGAGCATGGGATCTCATGCAGTGGCTGGTGCATGATTCTGAGAGGTGACAGGGGAACAGGCAGCCCTCTATGGGAATGCTTTCACTCTTGGAGTTGCTTTCCAGCCTGTGGGAAGGCCCCACATCGAGGCAGCTCAGATACCATGTGGGCACCCCAACCAAGCCAAGCAGCCCAGGCAGACTGCCAGTGAGTGAAGAGCAGAATCACACGTGTGAAAGAGAGTGCCCTTCCCCCCACCTCCCACCTGGCACACCAGCTTGGCTGGTCAGGCAGGGCAGCAGATCTGTGCCAGAGCACCCGCATCTGCATGTGTGAAGTAGTGGTGGCCAGTGGGCAAACACAGAGAGTCCTATTTATACATCTAATGGATGCAGTGGGTCAGAAAACACAGTTCCTGTCCTCCACAGTGGTGGCAGATGGAATCTGCAACCAGATACTACTACTATGTGCTGGCAAAGGTCCACCCCATCAAACACCATGAAGAAATACATTAACATTCCAGAGCAGAAGGAAAATGACAAATCTCAAGAAACCAATTCTGAAGTCACAGAAATTTACAATCTAAATGACAGAGTATTAAAAATAGTTACCATAAAGAAACTCAAGTTACAAGAAAACTCAGAAAGACAGTTCAGTGAACTCAGGAATAAAATTAATGAGCGGAAGGAATTCTTCACAAAAGAGACCGAAACTCTAAAAAGGCAAACGGGCCAGTCCCATGGCTGAGTGGTTGGGTTTGTGTGCTCTGCTCCAGTGTCCCAGGGTTCGCTGGTTCGGATCCTAGGCGTGGACCTGCATATCGCTTGTTGGGCCATGGTGTGGCAGCACTCCACACAGAAGAACTAGAATGACCTACAACTAGGATCTACAACTATGTTCTGGGGTTTTGGGGGGAAAAATAACAAAACAAGAGGAAGATCAGCAACAGATGTTAGCTCAGGGCCAATCTTCCTCACCAAAAGAAAACAAAGCCAAACCCCAAAAAAACTCACAAACAGAAATGCTGGAGATGAAGATGACAATGAATGAGATAAAAAATAATGCAGAATCCTTGAAAAACAGAGCTGATATTATGGAAGACAGAATTAGGAATTTATAGAGGACAGAAATACAGAAATACTTCAGGTAGAGGAGGAGAGAGAACTAAGGCTAAAACGACATGAAGAAGTTCTCCAAGAAATATAGGACTCAATTAGGAAAAGCAACATAAGAATTACAGGTATTTCAGAGGAAGAAGCGAGGGAGAAAAAGAGTAGACAGCTTATTCAAAGAAATACTGGTTGAGAACTGCCCAAACCTAGAGAAAGAACTGGAATTACAATTAAATGAAGCCAACAGAACTCCCAGTTACTTCAATGCAAAAAGACCTTCTCTCAGGCACACATCAGTAAACTGGCAAAAGTCAGTGACAAAGAAAAAATACTCAGGGCAGCAAGGCAGAAGAAAATAACCTACAAAGGAATCCCTATCAGGCTTTCAGTGGATTTTCATCAGAAACCTTACAGTCTAGGAGAGAGTGGAATGATGTATTCAAAATACTGAAAGACAAAAACTTTCAGGGGCTGGCCTGGTGGCGCAGCAGTTAAGTGCCCACATTCTGCTTCAGCGGCCTGGGATTCGCTGGTTCGGATCCCGGGTGCGGACATGGCACCACTTGGCAAGCCATGCTGTGGTAGGCATCCCATATATAAAGTGGAGGAAGATGGGCATGGATGTTAGCTCAGGGCCAGTCTTCCTCAGCAAAAAAAGGAGGACTGGCAGCAGATGTCTTCCTCAAAAAATAAAAAAAACCCCACCAACTTTCAGCCAGGAATACTCTCTCCAGTGAAACTATCCTTCAGATATAATGGGGAAATAAAAACTTTCCCAGATAAATAAAAGCTAAGGGAGTTCATCACCACAAGATGCCCTCTACAAGAAATGATCAAGAAGGCCCTCATACCTGAAATAAAAAAGAAAAGGTTTACAAAGCCTTGAGCAAGGAGATAAAGAGACACACAAAATCAGAAAATTTAAGCTCTTTATCAGAACAAGTTAGCAAACAATTACAACACTAAATATAAAGAGAAGGAAAGCATCAAAAATAAGTATAAACACTTCATTTTAATCACAAACTCACAACACAAAATGGAATAAGTTATGATGACAATAACTTAGACAGGGAAGAGGAAAGGGATGGATCCTGCTTAGGTTAAGGAGATAAGAGGCCATCAGAAAATGAGTCATCATCTATGAGATCTTTTATACAACCCTCATACTAACCACTAAACAAAAAATGAGAACAGAGACACAAATGATAAATAAAGAGAAAACCATCATAGAAAATCACCAAACTGAAATGGCTGTAGAAATACACAGGACAAGAGACAGGGAAATATACAACAATCAGGAAATGAGATAAAATGGCAGTATTAAGCCCTCATATAAAAATAATCACTCTAAATGTAAATGGATTGAATTCTCTAATCCAAAGACACAGAATGACAGGATGGATTAAAAAACAATACCCCAAACAATATGCTGCCTCCAGGAGATGCATCTCAGCTCTAAAGACAAAACATAGGCTCAGAGTGAAGGGACAGAAGACGATACTCCAAGCAAATGGCAAACAAAAGAAAGTAGGTCTTGCCATATTTATTTATATCAGACAAAGCAGACTTTAAGGTAAAAAAGGCAATGAGAGATAAAGAGGGGTAGTATATAATGATAAAAGAGACATTCCACCAAGAGGACGTAAGACTTATGAATATATATGCACCTAACACAGGTGCATCAAAGTACATAAAGCAACTATTAACACACCTAAAGGGAGAAATTGATGGCAACACACTAATAGTAGGTGACCTCCACACCCTACTTACATAAATAAATAGATCATCCAGACACAAAGTCAATAAGGAAATAGTGGAATTAAATGAAAAACTAGATTAGATGAACTTAATAAGATATATATAGAACATTCCATCCAAAAACAGCAGAATACACATTCTTTTCAAGTGCACGTGGAACATTCTCAAAGACAGACCATATGTTAGGAAACAAGGCAAGCCTCAATAAATTTAAGAAGATTGAAATCATACCAAGCATCTTTTCCAACCAGAATGCTGTGAAACTAGAAATCAACTACAAGAAAAAAGCTGGGAATGTCGCAAATATATGGAGACTAAATAACATGCTACTGAACAACCAATGGATCAAGAAGAAATCAAAGGAGAAATAAAAAAGTACCTGGAGACAAATGAAAATACATCATACCAACTCTTATGGGAGGCAGCAAAAGTGGTCCTAAGAGGGGAAATTGATAGCAATATAGGCCCACCTCAAGAAACAAGAAAAATCTCAAATAAGGAATCTTAAACTACACCTAACAGAACTAGAAAAAGAAGAACAAACAAAGCTCAGAGTCAGCAAAAGGAGGGAAATAATAAAAATTAGAGCACAAATAAATGAAATGGAAACCAAAAAATATAGTAGAAAGGATCAACGAAACTAAGAGCTGGTTCTTTGAGAAGTTAAAGAAAACTGACAAATCCTTAGCCAGACTCATTAGGAAAAAAAGAGAGAATAAAAATAAATAAAATAAAAATAATAAATAAATAAAATAAACAAAATAAAATAAACGAAAGAGGAGAATTACAACTGATACCACAGAAATACAAAGGCTTATAAGGGAATGCTATGAAAAACTGTATGCCCAACAAACTGGACAACCTAGAAGAAACAGATAAATTCTTAGACTCATATAACCTCTCAAAACTGAATCAAGAAGAGGGGCCAGCTCCAAAGCCTAGTGGTTAAGTTCGGCATGCTTGCTTCAGTGGCCCAGGTTTATGGGTTCACAACCTGGGTGTGTACCTACACCACTCTTCAGCCATGCTGTGGCGGTGACCCACATATAAAAAACAGAGGAGGGCTGGCCCTGTGGCCGAGTGGTTAAGTTCGCACGCTCCGCTTCGGCAGCCCAGCATTTTGCCGGTTGGGATCCTGGGCGTGGACACGGCACCACTCATCAGGCCATGCTGAAGCGGCATCCCACATAGCACAACCAGAGGCACTCACAACTAGAATATACAACTATGTACTGGGGGGCTTTGGGGAGAAGAAGAAGAGAGAAAAAAAAAAAAGAAGAAACAGAGAATCTGAATAGACCAATCACAAGTAAAGAGATTGGAACAGTAATCAAAAACCTCCCAAAAAATAGAACTCCAGGACAAGAAGGCTTCTCTGGAGAATCCTACCAAACATTTGGACTATTTAGTTTGCTCTACTGATTTGCCTTTTTAAAGTTAAGGATTTTAAATACTGTAGCTATAAAATGTTTTAATGTTTGGAAGTTGTAGGATAGGTTTTAGCACAATTCTAAAAGGAACATCAAGTACTTGAGGAAAAACTCAATCTTAAGATATCCTTACCATACACTGGTGTCTTCCCCGGCAAGATGACGATAATAAGCTGGAGCCCAGAGTAGGTGTTCTTGAGATGCCGGAACATGGGCTCCACGCTGTCTGCCCCCTGCGCATATTTGCAGAAGCAAGGCTGGCCCTGAATGGGCATCCCTGCATCTTTAGAAATCTTACGCAGCTGGTCCGTAAAACCCCTAGAAGGAGAAATTAATAAAAATAAAACCTTTGTCTAGTCATAAACACCTACAAAGTAGTAATGGAAAGTTTGGAAAGAGAATGATGAATGAAGCAAAGATACGTGTGCTCCACATATGAAGAGGTCACCAGACTACTGATGTTAAGGGCAATGTTGGGTCAGTAATCTATTTTGCAAACTAACACTACTATACAATTATGTGGTATTTTGTAGTTTACAAAGGGCATTAGTAATAGAGTGTGTTAGTTAAGAGCTCAGCTCTCGAGTTAGCAAGACAGGTTCCAATTTTAGTTCTGATACTAGCTATGAAATTTTAGGCAAATTTTTTCAGTTTCTGTCATCTATAAAATGATTACTTCCATTGTAAGGCTGGTGTGAAGATTAAATGAGATAATGCATGTAAAGCACTTAGCACCTAGCTCAAGACATGGTAAGAGCTTGATAAATTCAAGCTAGTGGACATGTTCTGATTTGATCCTGACATGATTCACAAGGAAGTAGTAGGTTAGGTGTTATTCCCATTTTATAGATCAGGAAATAGTTTCTGGCATATTAAGTATACACCTGAGGTCAAAGGGTTAGACGAATGGCAGAGTTAGAACTATGACCTAATCTAGAATTTCTTTCCATAATATTAACCATATCAAATTAGGATAGCAGGAAAGATTGTATCCTCAGAAAAGATTAAAAAAATATGAAAACATTTTAAAAACAAATGCGGCAGGCAGCACTTTAATGTACTTTTATCCACAGTGAAAAAACCAAAAGACTAATAATTTCATATTTAAAGAAAATTCTGCCTTTAGCCTAGGATAAATGAGTAATCACGTACAGGTTTAACAATTACTTTACTTGTTTTTAAAACAAATAAGGTCTAAGTCAAGGATCTGAATTATCTTTGCTTAAAAATACTCTGATTCTCTCAGGACAGAGATCAAGTTTGTAGGAATTCCCTTCTTATTTTTCCTTATTAGTGTTTAACTCAAGAAGTAGCAAGTTCAGGGGCCAGCCCGGTGACGCAGTGGTTAAGTGCACACGTTATGCTTCGGTGGCCTGGGGTTCACCCGTTTGGATCCCAGGTGCGGACATGGCACCACTTGGCACGCCATGCTGTGGTAGGTGTCCCACATATAAAGTGGAGGAAGATGAGTGTGGATGTTAGCTCAGGGCCAGTCTTCCTCAGCAAAAAGAGGAGGATTGACAGCAGTTAGCTCAGGGCTAACCTTCCTCAAAAAATAAATAAATAAATAAATAAAAAATAAAAAAATTAAATAAAAATTAAAAAGAAAAAGCATGAAGTTCAATATTTTCAGTCAGCCTGAATAAGAGCCATTAAGTCCACGATTATAAGACTTCTATCAAGCCATGAATAACAAATACAAAATGAAAAGAATAACTGTATGCTTGAAAAACAACTAGAAGTGTTTTCTTTGGTCTCTGGAGGTCAAGTAAGATAACTGTAGCATTGTCGTAAACCGTCCTTACATTTTACTTGAAAGCAGGGGGATAAAAACTTTGGAGAAAAAAACATATTCGGTGAACTTTAAGACATACATTTAGAGATCTGGAGCTAATAAAAAGGAGTGAACAGAATTAAATAGAATAAAAATTTTACTTCTCACATGAAGGAGGCCAGGCAAATTCTAAACCGATCTGGGGTAAACTGGTCTCTATATCACTCAACAATTATTCATTATGTGAATACTTTATAGGATCTATTAGTGAAGATTTAAACTAGACAACAGTAATTTTCTTAAGAAAATCAGATTTTAGAGAAGAAATTTACACAAATAATTATAATACAATTCTATTTTACGCAGGAAGTGACAAGTACAAATAGAGAGGATACTGATAAACTACTATGTTTACAGTTAAGAGAGATTACTGCCAGCATCACAAATCATAGAAAATTGGGTATTATTTAGAGGAGTAGAGACAGGAAGGAGGAGTTTTCAGTAAAGAGCAGCATGAGTGGAAATGGAAACTAAGGCTCCCTGGGAGATAGAGGGAATACAGTGCTTCAATTTTTTTGTCCAGAATATGTGAAAATGGAGAAAGGACTTAAGAGGCAGGTGAAAGATTTTAAATGTCATACTGATTTTTAATGTTATTCTTTTATATTTAATAATTTAATGTTATTCTTTGTCAAAGAGAAGCCTAAAAGTTTTGGAGTGGGGGTAGTCACAAGCAGAGCTGGTACTCTTTCACAACAGCACAGCTCCTCAAACAAGAGTGACAGCAGAAGCCCTTGAGACTACCAGAGCCCCAAAGACTTGAGAGTTCCAAAGGAGAGGAGATAAAAAAGAAAAGAAGCGAAAGTGATAAAAAGGAACCAGAAAGGCAAGAAGAGAGAGAATGTCAAGAAGGTAGTCAATTGTACCTAACGCTGCAGAAATTTTGAGAAAATAATGGCTGAGAAGAGCCCATTAGAGTTGATAACCACAAAGATATTAGAGATCTTCCAGGAATCAGTTTCAGCAGAGCACTAAGATTTCAAAGAGGGAGAGAGAATGGAAATCTGGAAGTCTGAGAGAGTAAGTAAGGTAAATTGAATAGTGAAGATTTTGTTTGTTTTAAATTTAAACAGATGATTGTTGAGCACCTACATGTTGACAGAAAGAATCTAGGGAAGAGGGGAAGTGGTGAAGACGGAGGCCAAATTTTGAAAAGTAAGGAAGTGGAAATGAGGAGTTAAACCACTCTTTCAAGGGACTCAGTTGAGAAATAAGGATTTTATTTAATCCTCATCCATTAGATAAGTACTATTATCTCTATTTTAAAAGGTGAAAACTGAAGCATAATGAGATTAAATAAATTATCCATGGGAATAAAGCAAGGAAGCAGAAAAGCTGGGAATTAAACCTATTTGCCATCAAAAGCAGTGATGCTCTGCCTATACCACATAAGCTAGTCTATTAGGATGGCTAGAAGAACGAATCAATGACTTTACTATGACTAACAAATTTAGGAACCTTCATCAAACCGTGGAGAAGAAACATTTTTAAAAGTTTCAGTGATTAAATATGCTCCATTTTGAGGCAATATTGCTTAGAACATTAGCTGAGTAATTTAAAATTGAAACACAAAATTGAAACACAAAAAGGTCCCAGAGCCAAACTAATGACAAGACTTACTTCAATATTTCTTCTCTGCACTGCCTCTGTGTGGCAAAACAAGCTATAGCCCACATTTTGATTTCAACTCCTGTGTGGAACTGTTTCCCTCGCATGTCCCAGACTCCGTGGCTTGGCGTTGCTACTGTCCGATTCTAACAGAAAAAGAGAAAGAGAAATAATAAGGCAAAAAAGAATAAACACTTAACATACAATTTATCTCAATGAGCTGAAATAAGCATTTCAAATCACTGAATTGTTATATATCTGATATTCTACATGGAATAGGCTGTTCTAATCATTCTTATTTATATCTTTATAATAGAAAAACAAAAGTTCCACTAAACTCAAGCAAAGATACTCACTTTGAAACGAAAGAAATATTGTTGGAACAACAAAACACTTTCTACATTCCACATTCAGCTAGGATGCAGGATTCAGTAGGATGCCCTACTCTCCATACACAGAAATTGTATGTTGATAATTAAAAAACTATCAAGAGGTTTTACCCGTCCTCCATATTGGAGCATAGGTGCTGGAAGTACTCGTCCAGTTACATGGGCCATTTCATCTCGAACCTTAAATTGAAACTCCTGAACAAATGGATCTGTTTCATAATTTGCACTTCTTACCTAACAACAGAAAAAATTTGTAGTTACTTTCAAAATTCCCCCCAATTCCCTGCTTTACTCATTAGAACCGTCTATCATTTTTTCTTCGCTATGTCCACAATGTTTAACAATAGGTCTAGTTAGTGTCCTAATGATAGAGCAGAGAATCTTAACCTGAGGACCATAGATCATGAATGGACTGAAGGAAGTCTGCGAACTTCTGAGTAATTTATAAAAAACTTAAATGTAGTAGGTTAATAATAAGAAATTTCAACTATTTATAACTCATGAAATGGTAATTTTATATGATCAAATGTAGTATATTCTGGGGAGGGTTATCTAGAGATTGCAAGAGAAAGAAATATCTGACCTAAAGAAGGTTAAGAACCTCTAATTAGAGGATCCAGACATATACTATTAAAATTTATCTTATGTAGACTTTGATAACAAATATTGATAATCCTAAGGCTTCTGTTTCTATTTGATCTACAATTTATATAAAATTTACTTTAATATTTTCAGATGAAAAGTGAAATATCATAACGCTTACTTAATATTTATACACTTGAGACAGATAAGAAAGCCAGTATGAGATACAGATGATAATTTTTACATAATACATCCATACATACAAAGATAAGGAATTTATTCTAATTCAGTGTAGACTTGGATCTCAGAGTGTAATTCATGCTTATAGTATGCTATAGTAACTGTGTTTTTCAAAATATATTTACTTGGTCTTAGGGTAAAAGTCAAACAAGATTACAAAAAGAAGGTAGAGTTCAAGTCTTTGAGTAACAATCCACTTAAAAAAAAAACCTATGTAATCTAAATAGGTAAAAAGAATCTCCTCATAATAAGCAGGAAAAATTGTTTTCTAAATTAGGCACTAATGCATCTTTTCTTCATGCTTAAATGCTATTCATTTCTGGTGTGTTTTAGTGTACCTCCACAGTAATGTTACAAAGATTAACATCTATTATTTACGAAGATTTGCTGAGTGATGTGCTTGATGCTAAATGTTTTAGAATTTTCACAATAACTTTATGACTATAAAAGTAGGTCTTTTATAATCTTTATTTTACAGAGGATAAGCTTAGTAAAGTTAAATGACTGCCCTAAAACCATATAGCTAAGCAAGTGACATTGAATCTGAAACCACGCATGTTCTGATTCTAGAGTTCCCACTCTCAATCACTGCACTAGCCTTCCAGATGCTGTAATTAGAATAACACAGTAATAGTAACAATAAGTGGAGAAGCTAGACTTTGAACCCAGAGCCATTAAGATTCCAAAGTCCGTTTTAACTACTACAATACTGTCTCCCTGAATAGAAAAGTTGTAATAAACGAGTTAGAACAAGTTAGATTTATAGAGACAGTGAAAAGTTCTAGTTTCTTAAAGGTTTTATAATCTTGTCATAGCAGATAAGAGAAAAGTCCACAATGAGAACCAACCTGTATTTTCCTAATAAAATATCATGTAATAACTTTAATTCACTCCTTAGAAAACTATAAGAAAAAAAGGTCTGGGGCCAGCCCTGGGGCCGAGTGGTTAAGTTCACATGCTCTGATTCGGCGGCTTAGGGTTTCACCAGTTCAGATCCTGGGCGTGGACATGGCACTGCTCATCAAGCCATGCTGAGGCAGTGTCCCACATAGCACAAACCAGAAGCACTCACAACAAGAATATACAACTATGCACTGGGGGGCTTTGGGGAGGAGAAGAAGAAAAAAAAAGGTTGGCAACAGATGTTAGCTCAGGTGCCAATCTTAAAGAACCAAAAAAGAAAAGAAAAAAAGGTATTTTTTTCTGTAATTGGCTTACAGAATGAAAGTCAGTTCTGAAATCCTTTTTCAACAATCTTTGAAATTACTTTTGAAAGTGCTATTGTTTTGGGTAACATTCATATTTCCAGACTTTTTTCTTCTTCACTTGGGTAATTGAAATGGTATCCAAGAAGACAGTAAGATCAGATCCACCAGTTGCCTTTTAGTTTTCATTTTGCTTTATTCCATCAGTTTTATAAAGTGGAACTGATAACTCTTCCTCCCCATACAGAACAAGGAGACAGCTTAGAGATCCTATGTGGTTGAAGCTGCCTTTAATTTCTTTATTCATCCTATACAGTCACCAGCCTGAGACTGGGGGCTAAGTAATCATACTCAGAGTGTTAAAGACTCTCACTATTGCTAGTCATAATACTTTGACCTTCCCTCCTTTCTCCTTCTTTTAGGTAGGAGGTAACAAAGCTCTAGTTCGTGAAACTGAAACATTAGTTCTGAGAGAATCTATTCTGGATCTAATTAAAGAGTCTGGGGTTAAATTAGAAGGATCCAACCCTTTGCATAGAACCCACTAAGGTTTACCCTCAGAACACGACTAGATTACTTCCATGATCCCTTCTAATTGTGATAATCCATGAAATGGTAATAAGGACATAGTTCTTTAGGAGCTCACCCTAATATGCTTTTAAAGTCCCATTTCTAGGGTTAAGTACTAACCAGTCTGCTAATTTCCTCTTGTCTATCTGGCGCAGATCTTGCTGTTGCTTTGATCATAGTAGAAGTCTGATTGTCCGTTAGCTTCTTGATACATCGTTGCCCTGCCACAATATTACAGACCTACAGATGGAAAAAAGTTTTATACTAGATGTATATATCCTTTTTAAAATTCTCAGTGCCAATTACATGTCAAAACAAATTTTAAAATCTACTTCATTAAACTGCTTCTTTTACTATCATGTTAAGTAAAAAAGTAGTAAAAAATACTATTTTACAGAATGATTATTATTAGCTAAAATATACACTGGATAAAAAGGCTGAAAAGTGTACCAAAATGCTAACAGTGGTTACATTCAGAGTGGTAGGACTGTGGATGAATTTTTTTCGTATTATTTCATTACCAAAATTTAGAATAAAATAAAATTTAAAAACAGGTCAATCTCCAAAATAAATGTGAGAGTATGAAGTAAGTTATAGGCCATAAAAGACCCCAACAGAATGATGAATAAGAGTATAGTAATAAGCAGCCTAAACATATTACTTCTAGTGGCAGATAGGTATGTTTCTGCTCCTGTCCCACTTGCAGACAGGGAAGGTGCGGGTACTTCAGCTGAAGAGTATATTTTTCTCTGAAATACTGTGCTACTGTTCTCTCCACAGTTTGGCCATTTTCTAACTGTAAAGGAAAGCTGGAAAAAAAAAAAAGTACACATTAACAACTCTTATCTCATTATGAGCTGGCAAAACTCCCAATTCACTAACTACAGCAAGCTGCCTCAATCATCTCTGCTCTGATAAACACCAGCTTTTCTTACGTTTGATGACTGGCAGGCCTTCTTGTTACATTACAAACACGGTATTTCCGTCTCATTGTTCCACAATGAGTCACTTCAACCTTCAGACCTGTTCCCAACAAGAAAAACTGAGGTTATAGAACTGTCACATGTAAAATATTTATAGCTACAAAGCCCGTCCACTACTATAAAAACTCCAATTCTAAACAGACAGAAAATCTGTGATACAGTCAATGTGATATTAACAAAGGCTTTTATACATAACATTGATAATAATGGTTACAATTATGATAGACCTAACTCCAAATCTTTTCCCTATCCCATCAAGCTCTACACATTATAAAATAGTATCACAAGGGGCCAGCCTGGTGGCTTAGTGGTTAAGTTCATGCACTCAGCTTCAGTGGCCTGGGGTTCGTGTGTCTGGATCTCAGGCGTGGACCTACACATCGCTCATCAAGCCACACTGTGGCAGCGTCCCACATACAAAATAGAGGAAGATTGGCACAGACGTTAGCTCAGGGACAATCTTCATCACCAAAAAATATATATATATCATAAAATTTGCAAAGCCTATAGACCAAGGGATAAAGTTCTCCATTAATAAAAAACCTTGTTTATAATAAATTCAGGTATTTATGCTGGGAGAGGAAAAGAGTAATGAAAGGAGTTGTAATAATTGTCAAGACATTCTATAACTTTCAAAATATGTGTTATTTGAATAGCCCAGTCACTGCATACTGACTGAAGATCAGAATTTCATAAAGCTCAAGAAGGAAGTCCTTCAAAAATTTTTAAACCAGGAAAAAAAAATCCAAGGCCCTTTTAACAGAAGTGGAGAGACAATTTAGTAGAAGTGTAATATAGTAACACAGCTCTTTTACTATTAAAAATTAGAAATCAAATGCAAACAAATAATTACTAGAGCGGGTGATCCCTACTTTCTTATGAAATCACTGACCCCTTTGTGAATCTGATGAAAGCAATAAACTCCTAGAAAAATGCACATACACATAATTTAGCATATGATTTTAGATGTTCCTGGATCCTTGCAGTCCATCTGCAGACCCGACCCTGGGAGTTTGAGGATCCCAGGCCTGCTTTAGAATACAAAGCAATGGGCTTTCAAACCACTGGCTGGAATTCTTTGGGATGAATTTTCTAAGCAGTGTTATCCACAGAATTTTCTGAGATGATGAAATGCTTCACATTTGTGCTAAAATTATTAACAATATGTGTTACTGAGCATATGAAATGTGGCTAGTGTGCCTGAGAAACTGAAATATTAATTTAAATTTAAATAGCTACATGTGGCTAGTGGCTACTGTATTGGCTAGTGCAGTCCTGGAACTCTCTAGAGAAGAGTTAACAAACAGATATATATAGTGGCTACTGGTCACAGATAAGCTTCACTCTATTTCTATGGCCTACATTCCAAAGGAGGAAAATCTAAAAAAAGGTAGATAGAGGACAACTTTTAGTTCCCTGATAGTATTTGTGGTTATTATGTTTCTGTTATTTCCCTTTTTTATCTGTGATTCCTAGAGTGCGGTGGTTCTCAATCAGAGATGATTGCGTCCTGCAGGGAACATTTGGTAATGTCTGGAGACATTTCTGATTGTCACAACTGGGGGGTACTATTGGCATCTAGTGGATGTTAGACTTAGGGATGCTGCTAAACATCCTACAATGCACAACCTCCCAGCCCCGACCACAAGAATTATTCAGCCCAAAATATCAATAGTGCTAAGGGAAAGAAGTCCTATTTTCCTATCTAATTATTAACTGTAGTACCAAACACAAAGTTCACTCATAGTAATATTTTCTTCTGCTATAATCAGCACAAATCAAGATGTTAAATGGACACAGTGTCACTGAACCAGATTGGTGTGAGTTTTTCTTGAGAAGTACTCCTAATTGTATCAGTAGAAGTAGTTTTTATTAGTAACTACCTTTATAAAACTAAAGATCAATTAGAGAATTTACTATGCTTCTATATTATAAAGGAGACTAGAAAATAAAATACTCCCAAGGGAAGTTCCTAAAAGAAGGAAATACCAACAATATGAAGTAAGCAAGATATAAAAATATTTATGTTTAGGGGAAAAACACAACAGAAAAATTTAAAACAAATTTCTGTTATCTACACTACTTAGCAATTTGTTTTTGAGTCTTCCCTTGAATTAAAAAAATTATTAGTAAGGTTCTATAAGCTTACTAAATAAGTTTTTACCAAAAATAAATTGGTACTCTTATATACATAGGATACTTTTACCATAAATTTCCCTCAGTATTTCTGCTCTTGAACTATGAGGAATTATTACACAAAGAAACCATCCTAAAGTTAATATTAAACATTTAGGAAAAACTTCAACTGGAACCAAATGAATATACTAAGAAAATCTATTCATTATAGCACACTTTATATCGCTATTTAACAGTTATCACCAACTTCCTCATGCCAGCGAAAAATGAAACCCAAATATAAAGCACAGAACACACAGCTTTGATTCTCGGGAGTTACTATGGTAGGAATACATGATGTACTTTAAAGAGGCCTCTTTAAAAAAAAAAAAAAGCAAGATTTCTTGACTTTGAATGGAAGAAATAATCAGTTTGTCAATTAGATCCAACTCAGATTTTTCTACCCCAAATCTAGGGTCATAGGTGCCTGAGGATTAGACCCAAATCCAGGGATTAGCAAAAAGTTGAAATTTTAAAAAATGGACTAGATAATTCTCTGCCCAGGTCCCTCCCCAAACCCTCCATCCAACCAAAACAAATTTTTGGCTTTAATAAATCAAATATTTAACCTATAAACTTGGCTTTACCTTCACTATAACATCAACTTTATAATGATTTCTAGTCATTTTTTTCAGTCATTTCTTTGGGCCCCTGAGCAGTTGAAGTTAAGATCGAGTCCATGCTCTTCGGGCAGCAGTTGAATCCTTGTTCTGTACATCTTGTATTTTCTGTGATAGAGTGGTGATATGAGTTGATTGCATAGTTACCTCAAAATAATGTAAGTGACTTCATGATATCAGAGGTGGTAACTAAGCAGCAACTCCACTGGAAATCATGGCATTTAGATGGTCACATATTAATGGTGGCTAATGCACTACCTTCCAACAAAGTTAACTGTGCAATTAATACTGATTATGAAAGGACAATGGTATGGTTGCAATACAGTAATACATAACACTTTATTATTTTGGCACTTAAATAACTTGAGATAAATGGATGCTTATTTTCAAAGCAGGAAAGATTTTCCTTTTAATGTTTTATTACAATGACTCTCTCCTGGTTACTAAAAGGCAAAGAATAATTACTGGAGCAAGCAGGATGTATTCAGGTACTCTAACTGATTTGGGGAGCTGAAAGATGTTCAGTGAACAAACTTCAATGCTTCATTCAAACTACAGGCTGAAAATTATCTACAACACATAGGTAAAACCTTAAAATAGAATAATTATTTTCGACTATTTAAGATCTAACCCTTAGTATACAGAGAACTCATACTACTCATTCTAATTAGAGAATATCTAAATTCTCTTCATGTCTAAATAATAAAGACTAAATACAGTGGAGTCACATCTTACATGAGGATTAGGTTCTAAAGTCATGAACAAGACAAGAATTTTACACAATCAAAATTAATCTTGAAATATTCCTTAAATTGTGATAAAGTACAGTGTATATGGGTTCCCATATAAAACTGTCTATGTATATTTAAATGTACATAGAAATGTACACATATAAAGAATAAATATATACAAAATCTAAATTTCAGGACACTATTAAAATTACTTTTTTCTTTTTCTCTTTGGAAGACTATGTAGAGATGAATTTATATTAGTAAAATAAGCATATGATGCAACACCATTGTACAATTTTTAGCTACTAAAATAGGCAACACCAATGGTCAGCATAATGTACATGAAATAACTGACTTCCAACTCTAAAACAACACATGAAACAGGCTAGCTCCCTATCCATAAATTTTCAAAGAAATAAATATTCTGCTATCATTTCAGAAAAATAAGGAAGTCATTATATTAGAAAATGTTCAAAGAATGACTCCAGTTCTGAAATAACAATATTTTTTTGAATAAGCTTTCTCTTTTTAACAATATTATAGAAGCATTTTTCCATGGGATACTCTTACATCTTCAGCAAGTAAGACAAAGTATCAACAAAAAATTAGCTGGTATCAATATTAATTCCATTACTTGGCATTTCTTCCACTGAAACACTACCTAAGATGTTATGATAATGAATTTAATGTAACATTTTATAATTGCTCTGTATTTTTTTACTGATGTTACATGAATAGATTTAATTCACCTTTTATCTCTTTGGTGAACTTTACCCGATGAGAATCAGTCAGAGGTCTTGGTTGCTCATCAATATTATGAATGTCAAGAACTTCACACATGAACTGAATTACAGGTTGTGCTTTGTAGAAGGCAGTGGCAGAAACTAAGAAGAAAAAGACAAATAGTACTAATTAATGTTTCCCTAAAAAAAAATTCAGAAACTTGATCTCAGGCTCCATGATAATTATCTAATTACAGAGTAAAATCATCCTTTATGTATACTTACATACATATAAAAATCTTTCCAAAATTAAGCAGTTTCAATTTGACCTGTTTGATTGGAAGACAAGCACAAGAACAGAAAAGCCAAATACTATAGCTTCTACAATCTATCTCTTTCATCACGGGTACGTGAATCATTCCATTCTCTACTACATGTACAGAAAAGTGTTCTGGGTACGAGACAAGGCCTGTGAAGGGGCAAAGAAGGCCAGAGTCCCTTAGCAGATGAAAAGGTTAATTACTGTTTCTTAAACAAAGCTTTCTATGCCACCCCAGACTGCTTATCTATTCTAGCGAGAGCTCTCCCTATCTTGCAGATTTGAAAAGACAGTGGTATTAAATGTTTTTAGTGTTAATCCAAGCTACAGCTAGTAACAGCAGGGCATATTTGCCCAATGTTATCTAGCTAAAGTTGACAGTTTTCTAAAAGTCAACCAGCATGATTTCTTAATTTTGGGTTTTGGAACCAGAAGAGCTTCACCAATGGTTAGTAGATTACCATCACTCATTTCTTAAACACATCCTTACTGACTACTATGATGTCCTATAAAGGCACTGGGGATACAATGAAAAGTAAAACCAAAGCAGACAATAAGCTACATGCTATCATGTTATTTTTCTGCTTAAAAAACAAGCCCAGTGAGGAAGCTTGGCACACATGTTAGCTCAGGGCGAATCTTCCCCACACAAGAAAAACAAACACAAAATAACATGCCCACTGTCTGCTGAGCTAAGTGTAAACTTTTTATGTGGTGCTCTTTATCTCCCTCCCTTCACAAATGTCCCTTACCTCTGGAAGGATATTTATCAAAAGCCTTTAACAGCAGTTATCTCAGGACATGCGTGGGTGGTAAGGCTACTGTGCATATTTTTTATTTTCCTCTTTTTAATTTTCTTTGAATCTTTTTTAAAATAGTGAACATATATTACCTTTTCTTTTATTATAGAAATAATATATGAATGAAGTCTCATCAATATAGATATAGAGAGTAAAGACTTCCTCCAGTCTCCAAGTATCTTTAAGAAGTAACCACTGTTAGTAGTTAAATATGTATATATCCTGTTCTTTTAAAACGTACTTAGAGACAAAAATGTACATACATTTTTTTTGCATGAGATAATAAATGTTCTATGATTTATTTCATTATTTTTAAACTTAACAATATGTCTCAGAGACCTTTCCAGGTCAGTACATTCTTTTTAACAGCTTCATACTATTCCACAGCACGGGTGCATGATAATTAAGTGAATATATACTCTTTTCCCCTCTTAACAAAACAGAACACAAGTAGTAAAACATTAGCAACACTATTCTGTACTTTGACTTTCTTTTTCTCATTATATATCTTAGAGATAAATCTATATGTATGAATACGGAACTGAATTACTGTTTTTCATAGCTGTAGGATATCTCATTGCATGGATGTACTTCACGTCCCTAATGCTGAATAGTTAGGCTGGTTTTGTTTTTTTACTATTCCAGTGAATGTCCTTATATATATATACACGTATGTGTGTGTGCATGCACACACATCCATCAGTACGTCTGTAGGAAAGATTTAAGAGGAATCAATACCTCACTGCTAAACTTCCATCCAAATAAACTTTAGAAATACCTCTACAATTTCTAACTAATTAAAAAAAGAGATTGATAAGACTGTATTAGCATTCTGGATACCTTATTCAAATCCACAGTAGTTTAAACAATGTATACATTACATTCTTCTATTAAAAAATGTGAGAATATTGTGCATTAAAAAAAGGCTGGCAGGATACATACCAAATAAACACACACTGCTTCTGGGTTAATTTTTAAAAAGTAAAGAGATAAAGGAAAATAAATATATGACAAGTAACATGCTTATTTTGCCTTTCCTTTAATCCTACAGGTAAAATTTCTTCACTGGATTACTATACTACTACTACTGAGTTTTATATCACTGACTTGAAACTACTAAACAAACTGTGCAACATTCTTCTGTTATTTTTCCCTGTTTATCTCACTATGCTTCTAATCATTTTACTGTTTACCATCTTCTCCACAGGAAAGGCGCACCTGAAGTGAAAAAAGTTCTTACAAAACATGGGTTGAAATAAATGATTACAGCTGAATTAGGCTTGAATTTGAATGAGCAAAGATTTGCTTCTCCACCCCTTGGCTGAATTCTTAATATTTTATAAATCTATACATATGCATTTTATTCCTCCTTCTCCTTTCAGGAATCAGCTAATTTACAGCAAAAGTAATACTTACTTTTAAGATTTTAAAAATCTATTAATGAAATACACCACATTAACATTAAAGGAAATAAGCATAAAATCATTTCCCTAGATGATGGCCCCAAAAAAGCACTGGATAAAATTCAGCACCATAGCTAAAACTCTCACTGTACCAGGACTAGAAGGGAACTTCCCTAATTTGATAAAGGTATCTACCAAAAATCTATGGTAAATTCAACTTCATTTAATAGGAGGTCCTAGCTAGCTGAGTAATGCAAGTTAAGAGAAATAAAAGGTAAAAAGATTGGAAAGGGAGAAATAAAATTATTATTCTTCACAATAAGACTATCTACTAGAAAACCCAATAATCTATAAATTATAAAATTAATGAGAGTTCAGTAAGGTTGCTAGATTTAAGATAAAAAATATAAAAATAGGTTACATTCTTATACATTAGCAACCAACTTAAAATCTAATTTAAAAAACATACCACTTAAAATCACAACAAAAAACATAAGGCACTTGGGATGAAATCCAAAAGATAAGACCTACAGAAACAACAAGCATCTTTACTATTGAATGATATTACAGAATATCTAAATAAATGGAGCAATATACCCTATTCATGTAAATTATCCTCAAATTAATCTTCAAACGCAAAGCAACTTCAATCAAAATACCAACAGGCCCCCTCGACCTCTGGAACTTAAGAAGTTGATACTGAAATTAACATGAAAGAGCAATAATTTTTAAGAATAAGGTCTGACCTAACATTCATCAAGATTTGTCAAAAGACTGTTGGGATAGACACATAAACCAGCAGAACAGACTTGAAAGCCTACCTCAGGCTAAATACAAATTCCTACTTCGAGAACTAAATATGAAAAGAAAAATGAACGTTTAGAGGAAAATATAGAATATCCTTATGATCTTGGAGGTAAGGAAGAATTTCTTAAACAAGATACAAAACTACAAATGATGAAAACTATGAGAAAAAACATACCACAAACAAAGCTCAAAGCAAAACAAAAAACAGGCTACAAATTGGTAGAGGATATGCGTAACACATATAACAAATGATTGGGATCTAGAATATGTAATGAGTTCCTACAAATCAAGATAAGACAATAAAAGTGGCAAAAGATATGAGCAGGCATTCATGGAAGAGAAAAATCTAAATGTCCAGAAACATAAATTTTCACTAATAATCTTATTTGTAATTAAGGAAATATATATAAAAACAATATGAAGCTATCATTTTACACTAATCAAGATGGGCACAAATTTCAAGATGGGTAACAAAAACTGACAACAAGCCAATGGAAGAATGAAAGCTCTTATACAGATTGTAGGAATATAAACTGATACAATCAGGAGAGCAAATGGCAATATACAGTAAATTTGAAGATGGGCATAATTTTCAACCCAGCAATTCCACTATATTGGAATACATACTACAGAGAAATTGCATATCTGCAGAAGGAAACACAAACAAGAATGCTTACTGTAGTATTATTTTTAATAGTAAAATGAATGGAAACAACCTAAATATCCATCAATCAAATAGATAAATTCATAGCATATTCATACAGTTAAAATTAATGGGCAGGTACTAGAATTCAGATAATTAAAATTAAGAAACAAAGTACAGATATTACCTGAGAAGAGTTTGGTGAAAAATGAGATATTATCAACTACTTAGAATGCCAGTATTTAGATACATATAATACAACTAAGGAAAAAAAATTTATCAAAAGTCTAGATGTGTAGAATATCAGTGGGATAGTCTTTCAATTCATGAACATAGTAAATCTCTGAATTTATTAAGATCATTTAAATTTCATTAAGATTTTGTAATACACTCTATAACTCTCATGCATCTTTTAATAGATTTATCAATAAATTGATAAAAATTTTTGTTGCCGTTAGAAATGTATGCTTTCATTTTTTGTCACATTAACTGTTTGCTGCATGTTTATTTTTTTCACTAGGTTTATTTTTTCTTTTCATAGGTAGCAGTGATAGAATAATGAAAAAAGGACACGTTTGGAAATAAAAGACTTAGATTTTAATCCTAGGTCCAGCACTTACTAACTATGATTTCTCTGAATTTCTATTTGTTCATCTATAAAATCAGAAAAATATCTACTACTTGTAGCATTAGGGTGGAGAGCCAATACAAGGCACCTACTTGTGCCTGGAACATGATAGGAGTTCAACAGAACTCTTCATTTTTGAAGAAGTGTCTATTCATGTCCTTTGTTCACTGATCTACCAAAGTCTTAATTCTAGGCAAAATTGTTTTGTCGATATAAACTAACTCCTTGAAGAGGTTGTATGGGAGAATGCCTCATGAAGATCTGTATTTTTTCTATTTTTAATGTAAAATATCACATATTACTGAAGTGTATAAAACACAAATGTGCCACTTAGCAAATTATCTTAAAGTGAACTTAGCAAATTGTTATAAAGTGAATATCCACGTAACCAGCATTCAGATCAAGAGCTAAATATTGCCAGTATCCTAGAAACTTTTTCCCTAGCCCCTTCCCAATCCAAACCTCCTCTCTCAAGGTAAGCAAAATTCTGGATTTTATGATAATCACTTCCTTTCCTTTATAGATTTACAACATTTAAGTACAGATCCCTAAGCACTACAGTTTAGTTTTCCTAATTCTTAAACTTTATGTAACCAGAAACATAAAGTATGTAATACTTTTGACACTTTTGCTAAAGATTGTTTCTAACTCACCTATATTAAATGTAACTAGTATCTTCATTTTTATCGCTCTGCCTAACACTCTGTTGAAGAAATATACAATTTATCCACTCTAATGTTGGTGGACATTTGTGATGATACTTTCCTTTGGTTACTTGAATAACGTCATGAACATTCTTATGGTTTTTCTGATGCACACACAAATACAAATTTCTCTAGTAAAAAAGGCTATATATCGAGGAGCAGAATTGCTGAGTCATGAAGGATGTCTATCTCTAATTCTCCTAGATAATGCCAAACTCTTCCAAAGTGGTTTAACTACTGACCCTCTTACAATCAGTGTCTAAGAGTCACTATTGTGCCAAATTCTCACCAACTTTTGTCAGACTTGAATTTTAGCGTTTCTGGTGAGTGTGTAGTGGTATCTCATTTTTAAAAAATAATTTTGAGGTATAACTTACATATAATAAAACACATTTTAAATGTAAAAGTTCAATGATTTTGATAAATGTATACATCTACTCTACTACTACCCTCAATCAAGACAGAACATTTCCATCACGCTAGAAAGAACCTCCCTGCCTCTATGTAATCAGCTTCTCCCGCATCTGCCCCAGGCAGCTACTTATTTGACTCCTTTCATAATAGATTAACTGGTTCCAGAATTTTATATAAATGGAATTATACTGTATATACCATTTTGTGTCTGGCTTCTTTTGCACATCCTAGTTGAGATTCACCCATACCACTGCATAAATTAGTAGTTAGTTGTTTTTAGTTGCTGAGTAGTATTTCATTCTATGATTAGATCACAATTTGTTTCTTCATTTAGCTGTTGTTGGAAATTTGGGTTGTTTCTAGTTATTATGAACATGAAAACATACACAAATCTTTGTATGGACCTATTTTTTAATTTCTCTTGGGGAAATACCTAGGAAGAGAATTGGTGGGTTATATGGCCAAGAGAATGCTTAAAAGAATCTGCCAAAATATTTTCAAAATGGTTGTAAAATTTTATACTTTTACCATTTCGACTTGCTCCACATCCTTATCAACACTTGCTATTGCCAGTCTTTTTTTTTATTTGGTGAGAAAGATTGGCCCTGCACTAACATCTGTTGCCAATCTTCCTCTTTTTGATTGAGGAAGATTGTCTCTGAGCTAACGTTTGTGCCAATCATCCCCTATTTTGTATGTGGGATCCCGCCACAGCATGGCTTGATGAGCAGTGTGTAGGCCCATGCCTGGCATCTGAATCTACGAATTTCAGGCTGCCAAAGTAAAGCCTGCAAACTTAACCACTATGCCACCAGGATGGCCCCTTGCCAGCCTTTTTAATTTAGCCAATCTTGTGGGTGTGAAGTGCTATCTCATTGTGATTCTCGTTTGCATTTCCTGAATGACCAATGATGTTTAACTTATTGGCCATTCACATATCTTCTTTTGTTAATTATCTGCTTTTGACCACTTTTTAAAATTGTCTTACTGAGTTGTCCAAGTTTCTCATACATTCTGGACACAAGTCATTTGTTCACATACATGTTTTGCAAATGTTTTCTCTCAGCAGTAGCTTGCCTTTTCATTTTCTTAATAGTGTTATTAAGAGAGGCTTTTTACTTAGATGAGGTTTCCAATATTTTAAGAAATTTTTGCCTAGTCCAAGGACGTGAATATTTTTCCCGTTTTCTTAGACATTTTCCAGTTTTGGCTTTTATGTTTTGGCCTGTGATACACTTTGAATTAATTTTTGAATATGGTATGAAATAGGGGCTAATGCTTATTTTTTTCATACAAATATCCACTTGCTCTAGTATCATTTATTGAGAAGACTATCCTTTCCCCATCAAATTATGTTGGCCCGTTTGTCAAATATCAATCAACCACATGAGTGGGTCTACTTCTGTAGTTATTCTAAAAGCGTCTCAGCCTTTTGGCTAAGATCAAGTGTAGTATCTGTAGCTAGTCTATAACCTGATTGATATGTCCATTTTACCCCAATATCATACCATTATGATTACTGTGGCTTTATATAGCAAATCTTGAACTCAGGTAGTATAAATCCTCTAACTCTGTTCTTTGTCAAAATGGTCTTGGCTATTCTAGATTCTTTCCATTCTCATATACTAAGAATCATATTAGAATAAATTTAATAAACAAATAAATCATATTTAGAATAAATTGTCAGGACACATTTTTTAAAAAGCCTAATGAGATTTTGGGATTTTGTTGAGTCTATAGATCAATTTGGGGAGAACGGACATCTTAACAACTTGAGTCTTCTGGTCCATGATCATGGTATATTGCTCTCTGCTTATTTCTATCTTTCTTATCTTTCTCAGGAATGCTTTGTAGCTTTCAGCATAGGGCCTTGCACATCTCTAAGTCTATTCCTAAATATTACGTTTCTGATGATATTATAATAAATAGCACACACTATTTTTTCCAATTGTAGAATGCTGGTATTATTTCCTGTTATATTGCTAGTGCTGATTTTTGTATAAGCAACTAGTCTCTTGGGACTTTACTAAATTTATCTACTGATTCTGGTAGGGTTTTCTGGGTAGATTCCTTAGGATTTTTTTATGTAGACAATTGTGTCTTCTGCAAACAAAGATAGTTCTATTTCTTCCTTTACAATATTATGCCTTTATTTTTCTTGCCTCACTGCACTGGCTTGGACCTCTAGCACAATGTTGAATAGAAGTAGTGAAAGCAAGTAACCTTGCCTTGTTCTTGATCTCAGGGCAAAAGTGTTCACTCTTTTTACCGTTTAGTATGATGATGCTTGTATATTCTTCTAGATGCTTTCATCAGGCCAAAGAAGTTTCCTTTTACTGCTAGTTTGTTGTAATCCTTAATCATGAGAATCTTAAAATGTGTTAAATGATTCTTCTGTCTGTTGAGAGGATTACATTGCTTTTGTCAGGTGTCAGTAACACAGACAGACTAGCCTAACGAAACTGAGTTGAAAAGCCTTTCCTCCTCTTCTGTTTTCTGAATTTGTGAAAGATTGGTATTATTTTTTCCTTAAGTGTTTGATAAAATTCACCAGTGAAATCATTTCGGACTGGAGTTATTTTTGTGAGAAAGGATTACGAATTCAATTTCTTTAACAGATACAAAGGTTATTCAGATTTCTCTGAGTCAATTTTTCTAACGTTGTGTTTCAAGTTATCAAATTAATCGATACAAAGTTTCATAACATTCCCTTATTAACGTCTCAATGCTGAAGGGTCTAGTGATACCCCTTTCATTCCTGATGCTAGTAATCTGCTTTTTCTATTTCTCTTGATTAGTCTTGCTAACAATTTATTAATTCTATAAAAAGAATCAACTTTTGGCTTCATTTTCTGTACTGTTTTCTATTTAATTAATTTTTGCTGTGATCTTTATTTCTTCCCTTCTACTTACTTTGTGTTTAATTTGTTCTTTTTCCAGTTTAAGACAGAAACTTTGTGTGGTAGTCAGCCTCCAAGACAGTCCCTAATGGTCTTGCCTCCTGGGATTCACACCTTTGCGTAAGTCTGACCTACACTGAATATATCTGATCTGTGCAAGTAATAGGATATTACGGAAACAGCACAATGTAACTTTCAATGCTAGGCCTTAATGTCTTTACAGCTTTTGCCTGGCTCTGTCATGGATTACCTGCTTCAGGGGAAGCCAGCCACAATATTGTGAGGATGCTTAACCAGCCCTATTGAGAGGTCCATGAGACAAAATACTAGGCCTCCTTGGGGCCGGCCCTATGGCTGAGTGGTTAAGTTCGAGCACTCCGCTTCAGCGCTTCAGCGGCCCAGGGTTTCGCTGGTTTGGATCCTGGGCGCGGACATGGCACCGCTCGTCAGGTCATGCTGAGGCAGCATCCCACATGCCACAACTAGAAGGACCCACAACTAAAAATATACAACAATCTACTGGGGGGCTTTCGGGGGAATAAGGAAAAAAACAAAATCTTTAAAAAAAAAAAAAAAAAAGAAACTAGGCCTCCAGCATAAACTTGTTACAAACTGAGTTTTACAGATGTAAAACAAGACTTAATCATCCTTTTAAACATTTACTAAGTACTTACTATATCAGGGACTCCTTTATGGGTCAGAATTTAGAGATGAATCAGACAAAGCCTCTACCTTTTAAGAAAAGATTCTGGGGTAAGATGGCAGATTAACCACAAGCAGTTTATTTCATATTCCATCCCTAACTCCACTAAAACTATGGTAAGGAATTAAAATAAAATAAAAAAAGACATAAACCTAGAAAGAGAGGAGAACAAAAAACAGGAAATGCATCAACATTTTAGAAGATGGAAAGTAACTGGACAAGTGGTAACTGACATAGCAGATTCAGCAAAATGAAATCTCAAGCCAGCTATGTTGGGAAAGATACGAATCAACTGCATTTACATTGTAGAATTCTCAAAAGGCACGACAAGTAGTAGTATTAGGTACCTCTGAAACTGGTGATAGAAGGATAGGCATGGTGCAGAAAAAGAGGAAAGCTGTTTGAGAAGCAGGTAAAGTCCTAGATCCCTTGTCTAACTCCACATCGCTGAACAACTGCCCCTTCTTCACCCCTGCATAAATCTGGAGGTTCATTGTTTATAAAAAGTAAAAGGCTCTTTGGAGGGAAGAAGTCATGCACAATTGAGGGCACAGGGCTGTACCAAAAACAAGGGTTAAATGACTACAAATATTAAAACTGAATGCAGACATTTCCCAAGCCAGAATCCCCAACTTGGCTTCCAGAATGTAAGCAACCAGACTGTTACCCTTCCAGCAGGAATTTGGAAGACTCATCTTTGGGTAACTTGACTAGCCAAGAGGAGAGGCCTAAGGATATTAACACTGTAGGTTCCCCAACATCAGCCCACTGAAATCACTGTGTGATGAAGCTCAAAGTCAACAGGCCCCACTAATGCATTCAAAGCTTTTAGTCAGTGTTTTAGACTCCCTCTGAACTACAAGCAAATAATCAAAGAAAATATACATTTGAGCAAAGCCTCCAAAATGGAAGACAGATCAAAACAAACAAAAAGGAAATCGGAAGAAGCATGAGCATGTGCAGGAAAAAGAAAACTCCAAAATAAATTATTCTCAGTGAAGTAAGAGAGGATACTGCGTCTGTGACACAGGAATAGTATGCTATAATAAAATAACATTCAGGAAATAAAAACGAACTATTAGAAATTAAAAACGTAATGGTAGAAATGAAAAGTGACTAGAGGGTTGAAAGATGAAGTTGAGGAAGTTTTCCAGAAAGTAAAGCAAAGCAAGGGAAACAAAAAGACAGAGGATATTCACTTAAAATAGGTGATTATTTTTTTTTTTTTTAGAAACGAGGTCTTATTCTTTTTTTCTTTTTAGGGAGATTGGCCCAGAGCTAACTTGGGTTGCCAATCTTTTTTTTTCCCTCCCCCAAAACCCCCCAGTACTTAGTTGTATATCCTAGTTGTGGGTTCTTCTAGTTCCTCCATGTGGGACACTGCCTCAGCATGGCTTCATGAGCCATGCTAGGTCTGCGCCCAGGATACAAACCCATGAACCCTGGGCTGCTGACGTGGAGAACACGAACTTAACCACTTGGGCATGAGGCCAGCCCCTAAAAAGGGTGAATTTTATGGTATGTAGACTAAACCTCACTAGGGCTCTTTAAAAAATGGAGTACTGCTTTCAAATTTATGAAGAAAAATTATTTCCAACATAGGAACCCAGCTAAACTATCATTTAGGTTTGCCGATACATTTTCTAATGTGTAAGGTGTCAAAAAATTTTGCCTCTTGCAGTACCCTTTTCTCATGAAACTTCTGAATATTAAAAAAAAAAAGGGGGGGGAGGGGGTAAAGAAACAGGAAATCAATATAGGAGAAAGACAAAATTCCCCAGGGAGGTAGTGAAGTGTGATCCCAAGAGGACAGCTGTGCACCACATATGAAGGGCACAAACAGTGTAAATGAAGAAGCAGATTTGATGGAGACTATCATTGAGATTCCTCCTGCTGTTATACTGTTTTTCTAATGTGAGAATAGACTGTAAGCCTATCACAGAAATCTTTACTTGCCCTGGCTTGATCACGGGTTGATAAAGTTCCTGCCCTACTGCCTAAAAGCAGACTCTCATTTCACCCTAAAGAAATGTTCTGCTTTGATCTACTTCTGAGAGGACTAATTTAAACATTATAAAAATCAAATTATTTCTTAATCCTAGAGATCTATACTTGAACTCAAGACAAACATATGCAGCAAGCAACACTAACATCACTAATATTGTGATTAATAAGTTACTTACTAGAAATCTGTTTTCCTTGCAAAGGAAGCACATTCAGTGTGAACTTTTGACTCTAAAGCAGAATAAATTACAATTACTAAATTCTACGACCATTTATATACTCTGACTACTTTCTTCTAGGAACAAAAATAGATACTGAGTGTTTTACAGAAAGCTACTTTTGTACTCTTTTTAAACTACTTTTTACTTTGCTTTTTATAGAAAAGCACAAGGAAGAAAGTAAAAATAAAATAACATTTCTCAACTCAGACGTCCTGGGTCTGAGATTTTTTCTGCCAGGAATCTTGTTTCTTAAGGGATGCAGTATACAGCTATGAATATTAAGGGTGTAAGCTTTGGAGTCAGAACAGTTGACCTCTAACATATGAATATAAACTATGTGACCTTGAGCCTTAAATATAAACTGTGTGACCTTTAGAGAGAGAAAGTCACTTTAAAGAGATTTCCCTCTCTAAACTTCACTTGGGGGTAACACCTAACTCATAGAACTGTGGTGGAGTTTATATGAGATAATGTAAAACACTTAGCATTCTATTTGGTACATAATAAGTGGTAAATAAAAACATCTTAAGGGAGATACAACTAATAACTAACTAATAACTAATAAACACTAGATTCACTGTGATGCTCTTAAAACACAGGAATTACAATAATAAAATGTAAGGTGCAAGTGAGTTAAGCCTAAAGAAGGCTTTATTAAAAAAACATTCCACATTTCGGGGCTGGCCCCGTGGCCAAGTGGTTAAGTTCGTGCGCTCCGCTGTAGGCGGCCCAGTGTTTCGTCGGTTCGGATCCTGGGCGCAGACATGGCATCG